TTGTGTATTCTTCCAAAAATTCATTTCTAGTCCAAGGTTAAATAACAATTTCTCCCAAAGCAATCAACTCCACCCTTACAATACAGAAAATTCCCAGGTCTATCGTTTACTCTAGTGCCAAACAAACACTAAGAAGTTCTGAATTTTTTTCCTCACGAACCCAAGTTAATTAATTTACTTGACAACGAAGTCATCAACTCTCGATCACTTTCCTCTTTTGAGAAAATAATTAAGATCAAATTATTAAGTAAACATGAAAACCGACCTTAAATTTTTTCCAAGTTTTTCTTCATTTGACGAAAACAGCTATCGTCCGTAGTTCGAGGAGGCATAACCTCTCGTAAGCTCTTATAGTTTCTGTTAAGTTTCCCCTCCACTTTTTTTTCCCTTAACTTACATATTTGTATGTAATTTATATTATTGAGTGGCAAATGAATAAAAATAAAATCAGGAAAATCCTCATGCCGAGCTGTCATCGAACAATGAATGAAGAGAGGAAAAAGAGGTCACAAAGGAGGTACTGGAATTTCGGGATCTTTTTACTGTTAGCTGCTTGTTTTTTCCCCTTATTCCTCTGTATTGGACACTTACCAGTTAGAATTTCACCAAATTCTAGAAATTTCTCAGGACAGGAAAGATCAGATAACAGTTTATTTTGACAGCTTTGCGTTCTAGCTAATAAAAAGCGCGGCATTTTTCGGCTTATTTGACAGTCTATTTTTCGCCAATCCTTGGCCTAACTTAAACCCGGGTTTAATTTCACTCCCTAGAGAGACCAATTTTAAATTCGGCAAATATTTTCCATTCCTTTTTGGAAGATAGGAGTGCAACGAAAGTACGCAGGATCAGTCGGCGGGAAATGTAGTCTGTACAATCAAATTAACCTTCCTAATACAGACACCAAAGGCACAGAGCCAAGTTCCCGTGTTTCTCAGAGGTGTCTGTACCGGGCGGGGAAGGCACTTTAGAAATTTTGGGGTGGAGATGCGCCGCTGGGTCCCTGAAACCGTTAGCCTACACCAGAGCTAGTTCAGTTGAATTTTGCTACCCTATACTAGACTAAACTCCCCAAACCCGCCCTATCCTAGAGTAGTTGTTTTCCAGAAACTGTCATACTGAGGTCACTAGCACAGTCCAGCCAAAACAAAACCGATTTGATTTTTTATATTTTTGAGGGGCAATTCCCTGTTTATCTAGTCTAGACTAAAATCTTCAACCATTTGATCGGTTTCCTGAAAAATGATACCCTATTCTAGACCCAAACTCTCTGATTCATATACCCTATCCCAGAGTAAACTGCTTGAAAAGAGTCTGAAAGCCATATCCTAAACAGCGGCCCATACCTCATATATCATATACAGCCCATATATGGCAGTTCCCCCCCCCTCCCGCGCAAACCACCTGAATAGGGACACCAAAGGCACAGAGCCAAGTACAGTGTCCGTTTTTCATAGAGGTGTCCGTATTACAGGGCAGTACCCAACGACCGAATGTTACCTATATTTCAGAAGTGTCTCAAATGGTTTTCTCTATGCTTTAGGGGCCGGTTTGGTTACCTTGGAGCTACCCGTAAGACTATTTATCTGTCCGGATGTCATAAAGCAACTTTAGACGTCTCAAAAGTTTTGGGTGGCTTTTTCGTCTCATCCGAAACCTGTTAGTTGCCCTAATAGGTTCGGTCGAAAGTTCGAGGACATGGAGTAACCCGGCGTGCTTTCGTTGGAAGATTCTAGACGACTTTTTTTCTTTATTCCGAAATTTAGACCTGCACCGTTCTAAACCTCTTATTTCATATGCTTCCTTTAATCTGCACTTCCATTGTTTTCTGGGATAGGGGCATTGTTATGTGACAATCCCTTTTGTTTTCCCAGCTAATCAGAAACAATCTTTCAATTTGTGAAGTAAAAAATAATCGCATTATCTTGGTAACAAATGTGACAAACACAACCTCCGAAAGTTGATCGTAGGTCTAAGCGAGTTGTAGAAAAACTCTGAATATCTTAGACGAACGGAGAGCGTGTTATCCAGAAAGTTGTAGCCTTTCTTTAACTTTAAAGACAATATTTGCTTTATCGATCTTTCGAAAAGTTATTTTACAGAAAGAAGAACGGTCGTTTGCTGCCCTGGTATCATGGAGGTATGGAAGTGTATAGAACCTAGTTTTGATCTCGGGGATCATCACTGCATGCCTAGCCTGCGTAGCATGGCGGTTTTGGTTGGGCGTGCTAAGTGACAAAGGCGAGCGAGGGCAGAGAAACCGCGAGGAGGAGTTTTATTTTTCTCGCGGCTTTGCTGCTCGTTCTCGTGCACTTCGCGCGCGAATTTCGCGGCTTCGCCGCTCGTGCGCCCGGCTCGACAAAACCGCCATGCTACGCAGGCTACTGCATGCTCCGCGTACCTTCTCGTAATAGAGAGATGTCCGCGGAGTGTCCGTATTAAAAGTCAGGGGTGTTGGCAAGGGAAGATCGGACTGTGCTTAAAACCCGGGGGGTACTCTCTTATATAAGCTGGTGCCGCCCTATCGGATAGGATTTTTGCGCTGTTTTGGTCTGAAAACGGGTATACACTTTTGGTCTGGGATCGGGTATGGTTTTTGAGGGAACTACGGGAGTGTATGAACGTATTTATCGTTTCAATTCCAAATGAGTAAGAAAGAAAGAGAAATGCGAGAATTCGAAATGCCTTTGAAGAATTTTTCTCTTTGCGCTCTAATCTAAGTAATGTTAACTTAATTTCTGCCTAAAGGCCAGGTCTGAAAATGGATATGGAATTTAGAGGTCTGATCTGAAAACGGGTGTGGAAAATTGCATTTTTTGGTCTGAAATAGGGCCAGGATTTGGAGAACCGGGCGGCACACTCCCACCAAAAATTCCCAGGACTATCCCCCGGGGCTTAAAACTACAATCTTGGACAGAGTGAAATGGAACAGCAAATCCCCATCCCTATAAATCAAGGATGAAGCCGCGCGAACGCCAAAACGCGCCATTTTCGCCTGTTTGATTTTGGGGGAAGGGGGAACTAAATTTCCCATGTATATTGTCTAAGATTGTAGATACTATCCTACGCGAAAAAAAATTACCAAAAGACCCACATATTCTTACATGTCCTTTAATTGGCTCTTGAATTTACCCAAAGCTGAAAGACGTGTTATACTTTTCCACTGTTTTCTATATAGAGTAACTTGGGCTGAAAGGTACGGTCTAAACGATTTAAAAAGTAAAATAAAACCATGCTTAAAAACATCAACCTGAATAGCAACACCGCAGTCACTTAATTTAATCCAGGGAATTAGGAGTAAGTTAAGAACGACTTGAAATCTATAATTGACTTCGTTCAGTAGAGGTTAAATCTCATCCGGATTGCCTCAGTTGGTTGTTTATTTATCACAAACGCCAGCCGTCGGTATCAGCATGACCCCCAAAAGAGGAGGGGAACTGGGTGCTAAGTTGGGGGGGGAGTACACGTTCACCTTTACCCTAAATGATTAGAATCCGGGGGAGGCACTCCCTAATTTGGCTTATTCGAGTATGTGCCGCCGAACAGAGTATGGTTTTCAAAGGCCAGTACAGGCCAGGAGCCTATGGGTCATAGGCTCCTGTCCAATATGAGTCTTAAACAGGGTATACAATTTCACTATTTTAGCATCTTGAATAGGATCGGGGAACTTGGGTATTTTTTGGGTGGGTATGTGCCGCCCGGGACTCCAAATTGGCACCCCGTGCTAGAAAAAATTTCCCCTAAAATTGATACCCCGTTCTAGAAATAGGCCAATTTTTTATACCCCGTTCTAGAATTGGCCCTAAAACTAACACCCCGTTCTAGAAATGGGCCAATTTTTTATACTCCGTTCTAGGGTGCAACAAGAGTACAACGGTTTGCTTGTTAACGCACTGAACCGTATTTTTAAAAGCAATCTGTCCGTGAATGCTTTCAAATGACTGCTTACAAAAGTGGAGAGCTTTCGTGCGTTCGAAGTATTATACCCCGTTCTAGAAAACGCCTCTGAAATGGAAACCCCGTTCTAAACCAGGAGCTTCAAAATCACGACCCCTTTGGGCGGCACATACCCGTATAGGTAATGTATGGGAGTACCCCCCCACCCCCCCGGGAATAGGATGTCTTATAGGAGAGAAGGCCTCTCAAAGAGTGACTCACTGTAAGTGTGAAGAATATCAATTTCAGGACTGAAGCACACTTTCCAACTCCGGGGTGTGGCTTGTAAGGGTGAAGGTTGGAGACGAGTGGTACCAACATTTATTTCTGGCAAAAAAACTGGTTCCATGATCGTAGTTAAAAAAAAAAAAAATGCTTAATTGCATATGCGAAACTAAATGAATCAGGGTCATTCATGACCAATCATGAGATCTCTTGTCTTAAACAAGGGGAACGAAATGAACGATTCTGGACCTTTGGTCCCAGCAGTAGTGCAAGACATGCTAAAGAGGGGAGACCTCCAGCGACAAATTACACCCCCCTCCGCCCCCTCCCCACAAGTCCCTTGGAACTCAGAGGGAACTCATGGCGAAAATCAGTGGAAAGAGCCAAACTATCATCAAATGGTGTAAAAATATGTGACAATATATAATATATTTTGTTACTTTAAAAATGGGCAAGTTGACAGGGCAAAAACTCAAGCCAAGACACTTTTTGTTATTTTATCCTGGTTTCACCGTCGTCGGACTGATATGCTGAGGAATCAGGTTTTCAAACACCGTTTTTTCTTTTCAAAACAAACAAGAAAGCCAGCTGACAAAAGAAAACAACGAAATATCTTGCAGCAATATATTTTCATAATGTCCTTGAACTCTGACCCGGAAAAAGGATCTTCCTCACTTGTAGAGTGACATTAGCAATAACTGGCTTCTCAAGGACCCACAGTTTTTAAATTTGATATCCTCAATTAGTTGGCGAGAAAAACAGCCGTCTTAATATATTTCGCACCCTATAAATTGTCACGACACGCGCTCGCCCTAAGCGCAGCGATTTTAGCAGATTTCTTCATGCTTCGAATCAAATTTAACGTCAGATCGACGGCGGACAGACGCGGGCAGCCACAAGGACAGATCGAGGTAATTTAACATCAGATAAAAGAACAGAGATGAGGATAACTCGCCGTTTGATAAGAAAACCAGTCAAGCAGCGTGTTGAGTTTCAAGGACTCATTTGCCACTGTTGATCGAAAAGACTCCCGATACAACGTAATTTCGCTTTACTTCTAGTACGGCATGATCTCCTTATCTCTGTTTAAAGATATGTGATAATATTTTAGAGGGGTAAAGAAATTTTTACTCTTTGAGGAAAATCTAAAACAACATGTGAGATGATTTACTTTGCGCGCACTACGCCTTATCAGTTTACGAATCTGACCTCACAGACATTCATCAACACATATCCGGTCATTTGTTAACATGTTTTCCTTTTCTTACATTTCCTTTCTTTAACTCGACACGAAAAACGAGGGTAGCTACCGGAATTTTATATCCTTGAAAAGTAGCTGATAGTTTTGGTCCATGGTGATAGCGCGTGAGGTATTTTAGCGAGGACTCCATCTTGGACTTTACCGACTTCTCTTTCATCACACAATTAGTTGAAGAAAAATTGGGCCAGATATCCGAGATAATAACTAAGCGAGAACGTAAGAAGCTTTCTATCTTGACCTAGAGATGAAGGCCTCATTAAACGAATCGATCAATGTAGGCTATCTGCGCCGTTTGTCTTGTAGACCGCTTTTTCTTTTGCGGTTGAGGCCACGAAATGTTCGGCGTGCTCTCCCATCCAAGCATGCTTACCTATCTAGGATTGTTGATGTAATATTTTCACGCATTATCACTTAAAAAGGAAACAGAAAACCTCCTTAACTATGGATTACTTTATTACTCTTCTTCTCTTCAATGTGAAGATTAAAAAAGGTTACAAAAGGTTTCAAAATTAATTTTGTATCAGCAACTTTGTCCCCGAAAAACGAGTGCTATTGGTCGATGTGAGAGAGATTTCAAGCCACAGAATTTCGTTCGCAGACTCAATGGCAGACACCTTTATGCCTTAAATATACAGGAAATAGCCAACGATTCCTTAAAGCTTCTTTGTGGCTGAATCAGAATGCAACCACAAAATAAGCTGTTATAAAAAAGGTATTTCACAGGCAAAAAAATGGGAAGTGTTTCCGGTTGTTCGAACGAAAAGTGGATGGCTTTATCCCTACCACGGATTAAGCGGCCTCCAACGAATAAGCGATAAAAAAGTAGCCTTAGACTATTTACAGGGTAGAGCGTTAAAGCGTTTACAAATAGGAATAAGTATGGACCAAGCCATTTTCAGGGTTCAAACAAACATTGTGTTTTAGCGCTCATCAGGTGATACTTCAATTCTGCGCCCCAGATTCCGCGGCCCCGCTTGTTTGGACTTCGACATTGGGAGACCACCTGGTACACAGTTAGTATCATTTTGTACAGCTTAATAAACTAAATAACATTAAAAGAAAGTACTGCCGAGTTGCCTTCATTTTACTGTTCACAATTCAGAATTTTTTAGCTCAGAGTCAAAAGTGAGATCCACCTTTCACAGCATGATGTTGACAGACCTACAGGAAAGGACTGCTCAGTGGACAAGCTTTCATCTTTAGTATTTCACCCAAAGACCCAAAAGTTAGAAACACCTTGTACAACATGCATTCTCACAAGAGAGAACAGTGCTCAGCAGTTTCTGTGGATGATCGCTCTCTTAAGGATTTTATCCACGGAATCAAAGAACCACCCTATACAGCATACTGCCCAGTAGTTTTCATTTGAATGATCACGCTTTTGAATTTTATCGACAATTTCAAAGTTAGCTCTAACCTTGTACAGAACCATGTGAAAGTACTGAGTTCAACGTTGCTTTTATGGTCCCACACTTCACTTGGCTAGAGCATAATAAACTACAGACAGTTTCCTAGTAAGTCAGTCAGTCAGTCAGAGGCTCTGTAGCCGGACTGGAAAAAACAATCGGACGAGAACCTTTTAGAAATCTCGATCTTTGCTCGATTCTTGTGTCTAGCTCGGTCATGCCCCTATCGCGAGAGCTGCATGACTATCCCGGCCCCGGGATGACTGCATTATGACTCGTGGAGTCATCATGGAGCATTATTCAGTACCTAGATTAAAAAGCGTAAAGATCTCAGTTCTGTTGATGTGTTTCACGAGAGGTCGATCGTTACGTCGGTACGTTTCACTAACACAGAAAACAAAGCCTGTAGAGCAGAACTTGGCCGATACCCTCTATCTATAGACGTAAAGGCCTCCCTTTTATGTTACTGGCAAAAACTAGAACAGAAATCAGACAACCCTCTCTTAAATGAAGCTTTTATTTACGCAAGAAATCACAGACAGTTTTATGATTTATTAAATAGGGACGAAACAATACAAGTGCACTACGAAAACGAGGTAATAAAAAACCAGCAATGTGTTAAGAGCACTCGTTCTAGCATTAAACAACAGCTGCAGAAAAAATTTTCTCAAGATTGGTTTAAAGCTCAAAACGACATTTCGGATAGCTCTAGACAAAAAAAATACAAACAAGGAAATTAAAAAAGATTATCACTTGGAAGAATACCTAAAGATAGTTAGAAATCCAGCTCATAGAATCATTATGACTAAACTGCGATTGGGAGTCCATACTTTACGTATTCAAACAGGGAAATATGAAAATAAAGGAGCTTCTATACCGGGAGAGGAAAGGCTTTGTTTGGTTTGCAAAAGAAACTGCGTAGAAGACGAGAAACACTTCTTAATTGATTGTACTGAATACGAGAGTCTTAGACAGCAACTTTATTTTCATATTTGTAAAAATGATGCAACCTTCATCAATTTAACAGATCATGATAGAACGTTACATTTACTCAGATTGGACAATGACAAAACTTCACATATTATAGCCAAATATGCCCATCTAATGTTTAAAAAACGAAAACAGTTCCTGAGTAAAAAATCCAATTGATTAGGTAATTAAATTATAGTATAATTATTATCGAAATAGTATATGCCGTATAATTTTGTTGTTTTCGTTCATATTTCTTTCTTTCTTTTTAAATTTGTTGTAGTTGAAAAAAAAACCTTTATTGTAACTAGACCGATGCCTCCCTTTGGAGAGTAAGGCGCAATAAAGATATACTATACTACTATACAACTACAGACTAGTAAACTAGGTGAAAACCTCATGCAGAGGCAAACAGAACCAACACAACATTAAGGGTAGTTTGAATTCAGATTTTCGCTGACTGCAAATAATACTAGCAGTGATCGAGGGGCGGTGTCACGGATTTCTTCTCGTTCATTTTGCTAATATTGCAAATCATACGACATTATTGGGAGTGGAACTTATTGTTAGCGACGAAATTACTGGCAAATTATAAAATAAAAGCTTCACTGTGTGTCATTTGAAATGTGTCTTCCAAGCATTAAATCAAACGTTACAGACAACAAAACCACAATTTTCTATCCGCTTCAATCTTGATCAGGTTTCAGTCCATCCGTGCCGTCTTAAATTTGTATTTGCTGTGCTATTTATACCTTCTTTTATTGTTTTGAGCTGTTATTTTTATGTTTCACTCAGTTTAGTGGAACCTGCCACTATTTAAAATTTGATGAATTTCGTGACACAGCTTCTTTAATGCCATCCCTATAAAGATCTATAAACTGTTTCCCATCGCTCGACCGACCCATCTTCTCGGCGAAAAAGTAACGAAAAAATCCAATAAGCATCATCCTACTTTCTAAATCGTCTTTACCTTGATTCGACCTTCGGTACGAACGAAACATTTTATGGAGATGGCCAAACTGAAGGTCGTGCGACTCGCTGCACCATGAGATAGTAGTGTTTGACCTTGTCCAGTGGTTTGGCCTGTGCCGATTTTTAGCTATTTTTGGTAACCCCACAAAGATATGAAAAAAAAAAAAAGAAAGAAAGAAAAGAAAACAACCAAAACTTTCAAATGAAATCGTTCAAACGTTTTTTTTTCGTGTTACAAGTTTTAGGTTATCAAAACTGAAAGGGGACATAATTAAGTGGCACTCTACAGTGCAGTCTTCGTTTGAATTAAGTACGTTTCATGTGGGTCTCACTACGATTTCCAAAACAAAATCGCATACCGGATGCGTGACGATTGGACTACCGGGGTGAAATTAATCGCTCTTTAATTCCTTAAACTGACAGGCAACATGCTTCTAAATTTTAAGCGTATTCAGAGGGGGTAAGAACGTGCTGTATTTGGACGTATTTATTAAAGTTTATCACTTGGGACAAAAGTTATTTGGAGTAACGTATCTTTGTTTATGTCAGTTTTCATGCCATTTTGTTTTTGAAATGAATGTTCCAACAGATGGTTACGTGTTTCGATCCGGTAAACAGATAATCTTATAATATATGTGATTGCTTATACTGCCACGCCGCCTTGTATAAGCTGCATAAAACGTGATAGAAGTACAATGTTGAAAATTTCAAAAATAACTCCCATGGAGATTATCGTAATTGTTTGCTTTTTTACATACTATTCCTGCTCTTGCAGTTTTAAAAGCGCTCGTTTCGTCTTGATTTACCAGTCGATGCATTTTGGCACAGCTTTCTCTGATTGCAATTCAATTAAAGATGACGGCCATGCATGTGGCGCCATGACGTACCATGACGTCATCAGGTCATTGCGTCATGTAAATATAACCCCAAAACAGGGTGCGTTTTTTTGCGAGAATCCAAAAACGGATTTGTGATCTCAGATCATACGAATTCTTCACTGCCAGATAAAACGGAAGATTCGTGGGAAAAAAACAACACTCCTCATGGCGAAGACGAGAAGAAAAAGCAACATAAGCTATGAATGAATGTATGCGAAATGTTTTTATTTGGGTTTGAAACTCAAACGTTCTTCGAATAGAACACACTCCTTAGGATAGTAAAATTATAAGAATTTAAAACTGAAGCCGCTGAACTGTTTTTTTTTTATTACTTGGAAAATAAACCAGCGTAAGCAGGCATTACATACGTACAAAAAACATGACAAGTAAGGGTTTGAAAACAGTCTACCAATAATCTGAATAGATGACAAACATGGAATAATATGTAACTCAAAATTAATAAGGCGCGCCCCCAACATAGGTTCATTTAGAATGTCATACATGTAAGACATCAGTTACGCACTACTTTTTTTGGAAAAACTGCTTGTCAAAAGTACTTTTTTCAAATCCTCTCCCAAAAAAACGTTCAGATTGTGAATCTCAAAAATCCGGATTTCGATTTGATCCGAAGAATCCACCCTGAGTGTGGATTTTATGGATTCATGATCCGTTTATGGATTTGCCCAAAAAAACGCAAACTCCGTTTTTGGATTCGGAAATACGGATTTGGATTTTTCCAAAAAAATGCACCCACAATCTATGGAGGTCTCTTTTTCGATTTGAAGGGAGCCTAAAAATAAACCCGTGCGAAACGCAGATAGCTTGAAAGTTGCATTTGTCAGGAATGGAGATTACCATTGATAGTTTTTGTCTGAATGACTTTATCATTGAGGCTTAAAATTATCTCTTAATTTAATTGCGTGGTGCTCCCCCAAATTGTCTGCAAATTTCCCTTGCCTTTGCCGCGATTCACCTTTTTTTAAACAGTCGAACCTCCCGTAAGCGACCACCCAAAATGCAAAGACTTAGTGGTCGCTTACGGGAGGAGGTCGCTTACAAGAATCGAACGGCACAGGGAGCTCTTCCTAGAAGAAGTCCCGGGCACATCTACTTCATGCAAGATAATTTATTGCATACAATTTCTAAGTTAAGCCATGAGTATTTCCAAGCAACGACTAAAGTTCTTCGTATATTCCAAGTAGCATAGTGTAGACAGCGAACATAGATAGAGAATGCGTCAAGTGGTCGCTTACAAGAAGTTAAAACAATGGAAAATCATTAAACTTTCAGGCTCAAAAAGTGGTCGCGGTCGCTTACAGGAGGTAGTCGTTTACTAGAGATTTCTACTGTAAGTCTTTAACTGGAGAAGGTTTGGTGTTTTGGATAGTTGGTCGCTTCTGAAAGGTGGTTGCACATGGAGGTTCGACTGTTGAAAATGTTACAACAAGGGAAACCTTCTCGAAGCCCGTGTATACGATTTGAAGATTCGTCTATATATTTGCACTGTACTTACGTTTGTCTCCCAGGGGACTCCATATGAAAAAGTTGGGGATGCTCGTCGGAAATTTTGGGAGTTCACCTTGGGCATGGTGTTACCTGTTTCAATATTCCTTCTCTTGCAACTCTAAATGAAACCTTGGCTGTTACAAATGTCGGAAGTTTTGCTCGGAACCCTTAACCTCTCGCCGTCAGCCATTTATAAGGAAAAAGAACCGCATTTTGAGCAAATCTTCTTTTGAAGCCATTTTGGGAATAAAAAAAAAAACGGGAATGGGATGTCATTTTGCAAGCAAAAATCTTCTTGTTTTTGAACTGTTCCCCTGTTCCTCCTTTTCGTTTCCCTTGCCATTTAACTGTTTCGGGGAATGGCTTGTAAAAGTTCCCCTTTGTTTTCCCCAAAACCTTTGTTTCCCTTGTTTCCCTTGTTTCCCTGTTCCCCTTTGTTTCCCCTTTTCCCCTTTTCCCCCCTTGTTTCCCCTGTTCCCCTTTGTTTCCCTTGTTCCCCTGTTAATGTTCCCCTTGTTTCCCTGTTCCCCTGTTCCCCTTTGTTTAACTTGTCCCCTGTTCCCCCTGTTCCTCTTGTTCCCATGTTCCCTATGCTTCCCTTGTTTCCCCTGTTCTTCCTGTTACACTGTTAGGGCTTTCCACAAGTTGCTCGAGATTTTCTAAAAGTTTCCCATAATTTCTCAAAAAGCTGCTCAAAAAATAAAAAATATGCAAATTGTACAACAAAAGTAAGATTTCGAAGCATTTTTGTGTAATTTTGCGGCGTAACAAGCATATTTAAATACCTTTATCCTCAGTTAAAACCAAAAAATGTAATAAGCAATAAAATTGCTGAATGACCTTCTTCACCCGAGACACTCAAGTCAGTCGAGTGTGACTCCTGGTGTGAATCTTCGTCCACCATTTTGAATTTCTCTAAAACCCGCCGACTTAGCTGCCCGGCTACTTTTATCTTGCGCCCATGATCAGCTCCAGGAAGGAGGATTTGACCCCTTTTTTTACAGAAAATTTTTGAAATGGAAGAAAGGCCAATTTTAAAATGCCCTGATATCTCAAAATTAGGAATTGGAAACCAAAAAGTTTTAATGAGCCTATCCAATAAAATTGTTGAATGACCTAAATTGTGCAACTCCCGGTAAGCCCCCTACCTTGTAATCCTTGGTAATCATTTGCAACCCTTTGTTACTCTTTGTAACCCTTGTAACCCCTGTAAATGTAATCCCTTGGAAGCAAAAGGCCAAGATAATCAAAAGATTTTGATCAATTTAAACACTAAGGGATTTAGTAAAAGTCATTTGACTAACAGGTGCTCCATCAATTATAATCAAGTGAGGGGGAACTATCAAACGTGCTTAGTCTTTGTCTTGATCCAATCAACATAGACTCAGTTTTAGATGCATTGAGAAGGAGCTTGTTTGCAGGAAGCCTATTGTTAACCTAGAGAGGTCTTCATGGACATTTTTGTCAATACTGGAAACTGTATTAGCAGCAAAGGCTAGATGCGTATCATCAGCGTACATTCGTGAATGAGAATTCAGTAAATAATTAGGTAAATTATTTTTAGATATCAAGAATAGGAGCGGACCCAGTATGTGTCCCTTGGGGAACACCGCACGTTGTTGGTCGACAGTCTGAGAGTGAACCATTAATAAAACATCGTTGTTTTCGTCAATCTAAGTAAGATCTAAACCAGCTATGTGAAATACCGTCAATACAGTAGAATTTCAACTTTGAGAAGAGACTATCGTGATCGACAGTATCAAAGGCTTTCTTAAGATCTAAAAATACAACTGCGGTTACATTTCCCTGATTTATGTTGTACGCCCAGTTGTCCTCAGCTTCAAGAAGAGCGGTAGCAGTAGAAACCTGGTTGAAAACTCGAAATAAGTTTATTTTCGGTACTGCTCCAGAGTAACTGAAACTGTCTTTCAAAAAGTTTGCTTGGGGAAGAGGAATAGCGTGATTGCTGTTGATGTCTCTTATAGAGACACTAACCACCTAGGTATATAGGTATGAAACCAAGATGGCCGCCCGTACCAGTAAGCGCTCCATTCTGAAAAAAATAGGAGACCGTGAACAGTTAAGCCATCTTGCGATACAGAAACTTGTTTACAATCATCTCTGCTATCTGACTTGTAGCAGCTGTTTCTATCAAAAAGTTGCCTTCCAAACGTCTTTGCCTCCTATCAGGAGCACTGGACGACGGTTTCTTTCACTCTCTAGGCTGGCCAGAGTACTTTTAGATCTCTAGAAATGCATTCTAAGCGGCGCTATAATCTGTTTATCTGTTCGGTCATCGTGGGGTAACTTGAGTCTTTTCGTTTTTACAAGGGCTTCAAAACTATTTTCCCGAAATTTTTAGATGTAATTAAACGTACGAAAGTGAGAAATTTACAGATCCCTCTCCGTTACATTTTTGAATAGAAAATTTTAGGTTTCCTTTTTTTCTACGAAAAATAACCTAACCTGAGGAGTGAAATGTGAAAAATAAAACTTTAGAAAGTCGTAGGAAATTTATTAGATACGCTTCGAAAATTTTAGTACCTGAATGGAACGGTCATCTTAAAATTTTTAGCCGTCCTTGTAATAGAAAATTCTAGGCAACATCTGCCTCTCCGAACAGATATTTTACAGACAGTCGTCCTAAGCTGTCTTTCATTATCTGCTAACTTCTAATTTTTAGCCTCCCCATCAGGTGACCTTCTTGAAATGTTAGTTTTTAATACCAAATTTTTCTTTCCTCTCTATTTGTTAACTTCTAATTTTAGGCTCTTACACCAGCTGGCATTGTAAAAAGGTTAGATTGCCCGAAATAAGGATTGCACTTCCTTATTTGGTCTAAAAGGGTATGTGCCGCCGAACAGAGTATCACCAAGAGCCATAATGGGCTCTTGGTATCACATAAAAGCAATTTGCCTCGAAGACATCACATAGACTCAACTGGAAAAACAAAGCGTACAAGTGAAACGTCTTATTCAGGCTCAGCAAATACTAAAAGTAACTTTTTTTGAATTTTTTTTTTGTGCAATAGTTTTCCATGCTTGCATGTCCGATCAGATCCGATCAGATAAAAAAATGGACTATTTGTTTACCTCCTGCTGGGAAGACACCAAAACTGTTAAGGCTTGAAACATCACAAGTTCGATGATCACTGTGATCTTAAACCTTTAAACCCTAACATCAAAATTTGAATTCTCATTTGTTGCCCCTATTCCTTTCCTACAGAAGTAGTGGGGAGAAGTTGATAAAATATCAAGCAAATTCATCTTGTGTGATCATGCCCCTAATTGTCATGACCACTCTGTTTGCAAAAAATTGATATTAAAAGGAGAAATTTGATGCTGATCTTAAGGCTTAATTTTTGCAGTTGAGAAAAGAAGGCCTGAGAAAAATTTTCCAGGCTTTCTTTTCGCAACTGCAAAAGTTACTTCTATAATTGGGATGATCTTCTTTCATACTGAGGGATAAACTTTGTCTGCGCCCATAGCTACGAGGGGGGTAATTCTTCTCCACCCAGTTTTAACCAGATAAGATGAAAGTCCAGTGCAAGATTACTCTTATATCGCCGTTGTCCCTTTGAGAAAAATGAGAGATTCGGGAGAGGAGGGATAAATGTGAGAAGGGGAACAGAAAGACCGATTAAGAAACCATTAAGAAAGACACATCAAGAAGATGCTTACGAGAATTCCACACAGAGCCACAATTCGCACAGAGTTTTACATGTTTTGGGCTATGCTTTTAAGAGTTCTATTCACCTCCATGTAGTATGATAACTTGAACCGTACGAAACCCGGGGGGGATACTCGACCAATACTTGGGTGTAGGTGAGCCGCTGAGGTTTTGAAACGCTGACCCTGTTCGGGACAAAAAAATTCCTAAAATACATACCCTGTTTAGGACAACACCCTCAAGTTTGATACCCTGTTTAGGAAAAAGGACAAAATACAGGCCGTCTTGTTTTACAGCCATTTAGTGGCAATTTCAATACAGTAAATTCACGATATAGTCATTGCTTTTGTATACTTGGAGTAAAAACAAATTTCATCTGACAAATCAAATCAATCGTGCAGGCAATACCCTGTTGACACACGCACAGGAAATTATATACAGTGTTTTGGACAGACTCACCCGAAATTCTATACCCTGTTTAGAACAGAGAGGTGAAAAACTACACCCTGTCTAGCGGCACATCCCTGGGGGAGGAACCCCTATAAAAGTGACGGGGGTGCTCGTTGTATCTTTTAAAAGTTTAAATTTGTGGATTGGTACCACTTAGGGCGCTAAAACCTAAAATGACTGCTGCCAGAATTGATACGCTTTATTAGGATAAAGATTTATGACAACACTTTGAAAAAGTCCTTGACAAGAAAGTGTTCGAAAGTTATTTATTTGCAGTGCCAGTTATATAATTTGTTGTTGTTGAATTGGTGCCTCTTAGAGGTGGAAATGAATTTGGGACACACCCATAAATCAAGTTTCTGTTACGTTTTAGAAGTGTTCTCAAAATTTTCCGACGAGAACCCCCGTCACTTTTATGGGGGAGTACCCCGTGTGGGCACATCCCCGTGTAGGCCATATCAGGGAGTACCCGCAGGAGCATGACAGTACTGTTTTAAGAGCGTCCTTCATATAATTTCGTCCTCATAAACAAGAATTATATAATTGCTTAGTGCGACGCAAAGGTTCCGGACGGAAGTAATCTAAATTCATGAGACAATAAATCATCATTCAAGCTACTGACAAGAAAATTTCAAACGTACAAAGAATTCTTTAATACGGCTATCAAGTTCGAATTGAATTGCATGTGGTTTAATACAATCGTTAAAAGAAAAGTTATAGTTTTATCTTAACTAAAATAAACTGGACACATTAGTTCAACATAATGAGAATTTGATATCCTTTCGCTTTTATCAATGTGATAATTTCTTTCAATTTAGAAATATACGTGTGAACCTGAAGAAAACTTGACGGAAATGGTGGCCTGGATATGATCAAAATTTTGGGAATTTCGGCAAAAATTGTGGAATGATCTTTTGCTTTCTAAGCCTTTATACATCCAACAATATAATGAGTCAAATGCATAAGGAGAAATTAGAGTAATCTAAAAATGTCTGAACTTATACAAAAAACACAAGACGCAGTGTAGTATTACAAATATAACAGTGTAAATATAGGGAAAAACAAGTCGCGAGGCTAAGGTTTTTGTTGTATTTAAAGGTGTTTTGTTTCAGGTATTTGAAATGACAATCCTTTTCCTTAAAACGATTTCGAAAGGAGGAATTAAGGACGCAAGAACGAGAAGTTTTAAAAACACTTTATTGCGCTCGACTCCTTTGTCTTCTGTATTGAAAATAACTGAGACAAATGCAGAGGAGGGTGGGGGGAGGGGGTGGGGTACTTTCGTGTTTCATTACTGTACAGATTCCGCGGTTTAGAGTTACCAGTCCTCAGTCGACACCGTATAATAGAAATGAAAATGTGCAGAACTATAGCGGAAGATATGTCGATTATTTTGGTTCTAGACGTGTTGATTCAATACTATAGCGACATACGATAAAATACCAAATGAAGTAGTTTGGAATTCGTGATAACTGTGGGGTCTTTTCTATGGCGGAAGCATTTTTGACTAAAAGTAGATATAGTTTTATTTAGAAGCACCCAAAAATGTCTTAACTAGAAAATACTTGAAGCAAAATATGTTGCGTCACCTTAAGAAGCCATTCCACATAGAGTCTAAAGAAAAGTTTCATTATGGTAGATTGCTCGATTGTCTCCACGATTTCATTTCACGTGTATTTATCACGCAAACTTAACTTCTCTATCGATTTTCTGTTCTATGTTTCCTTGTTGTTGTTATCTATTTAATTTGCTTGCCTTTAGGCCGGGACATCATCCTGAAATATTTTGTTGTCGACCCATAGAAAATGGTTTGGTGAAACAGAGCTGATTCCCCGACATGGCATGAATTCAAACTATGCACTTTTGATCGAGTTAAAGCAATCTTTTCTATTTAGGTCGACAAAGGTTAGGATTACTGTCTCAACTTTAGAAAAAGGAAAAATACACGCAAATACTAAAGGCTGTTTACATGAAAATTTGCGAAAGCTGAGCATAGTACTTCAAAGTTTCTACGTTTCACCGCCGGTTTAAGGTTCGGAACATTCTCCACCAATACGCCGCCCCTGATTTTGTGAACCGTTTAAAAAGTTCGCTAAAAAATTGTATATGTTTGAATACTGAATGCACCCTTGTCGCCATTTATCAATAAAACGTAGCTCGACGCAAAGCATTTTTAATGCATTAAAACTCCTTTTTCCAGAAAAATAAAGAAAAAGTGGTATGAATCGATACATCTTTGCCTTTGTTTCCGCATCATACTAAATTAAATCCTACTAGATAAATGCAAAAATGCAACGTACGCTTGACCTCAGTGTGGATATGCAGTGTATTCGTGCAGAAAGCCTTGGCCGATTCCTGAAAATATGATAGTTGAGCCTAGCGTAAAATGGAGTGCTATGTCCTGTTTTAATTGGTGAACGTCACAACTCATTTAGAATTATAGGGACCAAATTGTTTTTGTAGTGAGGGAAAAATTTGTCGATTTGGGTGCGAAATAAGCGGAAAAGGTCCAAGAAAGAAGTTGAACTTGGAACGTGCAGGTCCGTCCGCTAACCCCAGTATTAAGCTAGCTAGAACAATAGATTTTGCGTTAAGCGGAAATTCCATGGAATACGGCTTTTGCCACAGATTTTCTCGCCGCCGAAATATACAGCTTAAACAAACACGAATAACTTCTAGAACTGACAAATAGAAATACCTTTTTAGGGTGTCCTATTAAGCTTAGCTGAGCGAACGAGAAGTGCCAATAACTAAGCCCTGTATGTAAACGTCGTAATCCACGTGCTATAAACATAATGTAAGGTGTTCCTAAGGCATTAGAACAACTTGATCTTGTTATTTCGTTATTTTTTGGTAACTAATTTTAATCTTTTCAAACGCCTATTTCAGTAATGTTATTTGCTAGTTGATTTTGTAAATCAAGTTTTCTGATTTAGGAAATGAGATTTTTGCGTTTTCAAGTGCGCTTTTCTATCTTTAAGATGCGTTATTAAATTAAGTGTCTCGTTTTGATTTGGTAAATGCGATCAGGTGCCCTCTTTCTTCTCGAAAATTGATGCGATATTTGTTTTTAAAACACCTTTTGACCAGGTTTTGAATGTTAATCTGGCGTTTTTATAAGTTAAGTTAGGCTTCTCATTTATGGTAATTAAACGGATATATAAGGGCACAACGTACAAGTCAGCCGAAATATGATTCCGAACTGACGACAACTTCATGGTATAAGGCGAAACAGTTTTGGCATAAAAGACAATGTTTTATTCCTATACGACAAATATGGCGTCACCATAGTGACTTCATGCGACACGACGTTCCTTTCCTTCAAATTTACGTGGAACGCTGCATCTGAGACACCCGTGAATTAGAGATTGTTCGCAGGATACTATATTTCCTTGATGAGTCAAACTGCAAAGCATACTACTTCCATGGTAGGTGATTTAGGGCCTGTCTCAACACTAACGCTTTTTCAAAAGTATGCGTTTTCCGTGTCATCGAGAGCGCATCGATCGATTCGCGTCCACACTACCGTTTTGATGCGTTTTCGACTGCCCCACATAAAACGTTTGAAAACGATAGAATTGCAGGTTGTGATGTAAGTTCAACTCTTTGCGCATGTTACAGACAGAATGAAAACTACAGGCGAACCTCTCTAATACGGACACCGAAAGGACAGAGTGAAGAGTCCGTATTTGAGACGTGTCCGTATAAAAGTCACTATGATTACGTCACTTTATAACTCCGCTTACAGTTTTGAATGTTCAGTAGCTAAAACCAGGTTCCCACTCGTATTTAAACTGCATTTTAATTCACAGTACAAAGACACTGTCTTTCAGTAGCATACAACAACATGATACATCTCAGCTACAAAGTAAGTGCAGTCGTAGACAAATCACTGTTTTAAAACGAAACGAGCTACAGCGCAATGCTGCATGTAAAAGTTGTAAAGTAAAGCACAATTCTGAGAGCGTCTTTCGCTATTTTCCAAGTGCATTAAACAGTAAATAGAGTACAAAATGTAATAGAAAAGATCTTTATGCTATCTGTAGTTATTCAAGCCTTAAAAAGTCGGTTATGTTCCTCTGTACACCTTTCGCATCTCGTTATTTGATATACAGCGACTGAGCTTTTGAAATCACCTTGCATAGCTCATCAGCCAGACGGGATTCACCCTGTGCAGATTCATCTGATTAGGATTCGGGCGGGATTCGGGATTCATCCGATCACTGCAGTGTCCGTGATAAAGAGGTTAAGTTTATGTGAATTTACTCTCTTGGGCCGTTGTCAGTCCGGGAGACTGAGTCCGTATTATAGAGGTTTTTTAAGAAAAAATATGTGAGAATTTTATCGGGATCACATTGGAAACTGTCCGTAATGGAGAGGTGTCCGTATTAGAGAGGTCTCCGTACCGTGAGGTTCGACAGTATCTGGGTTATTCAGTAAAGTCCTTGTTATTATACACGCCCCTGCGATATTTTCGGTCATCGTTTTCATTTTGATCCGTTTTCGACCGTCGCAACAGACGATATGAAGCATTTTCAGTGCCTACCTTAAATGATCGATTATGCGCCGCGGCGCTTATATCATTTTCCCTGTCATAGTGTGCGGCGCTTATACGAGAGCGGCGCTTATTTCATCTACAGGTAAAACACTGAGAGAAATATAGAGAGAATTAAATGATTCGCGTACTAGCTATGCACAATTTAATATAGAACTGTTATATGAACCTGGGTTCAGGAGATTCCAACTTTAGAACTCACGAGTGGGTCGAGATCTTATCTCTCAAAAGAGATGGTTTTGACATCTCTTTATATCAAGCGCAGTAACAAAGGTGGGGCGTTTATTGCGCCGCGGCGCGTAATCAAGAGCGGCGGTTATCAAATTATTTTCGGTAAAGGTAGGGCACTTATTCGAGAGCGGCGTTTATTCGAGTAGCGGCGCTTAATCGCTTTTTTACGGTAAGTGTGGTGTTAAATAACAAAATTTTGGAATGTAATTTTTGCAAAGACAAGATTTAGCTTTTCAGAAAGAAAGCGTATAATATATACAGGTCAAAATCGGGGAGAGAAACGTCGGCTCTCTCCTCGATTTTTTCTGAGGGTCTTGGGGGCGGCTGTACACTGGCTAGTGGTCACTCACGATCACTGGAAGTAGTCGCATACCAGAGCTTCAACTGTAGTGCTGGGAAACCGAATTTTGGTGTTTCGATACGTGGTCGCGCGCACACGGAAGTTTAACCGTAATGAAACATTGAACAACTTGTAAAAGATCAATGGCAGTTTGAAAGTACTTTTCTTGTGTTGTCTAGCTCAGACAAGGTCCCGCAAAGTATGGTCCTCAGATGGATACTCCTGGGTCGAAAGAGCCTGCTTAAAAGAATCTCGACTTAAGTCATTGCAGTATAGGGTTGTCAAGGGTCTGTACGGATGGTCAAATTATATGCCCAAAATCACAGTCAAAAAACAAAATTCTGTCTTCAGTGAAATACAGAGTACAAAGTTTATGCTTGCGTAAAATGCGTGAAAGAATGCACGTAACCAGGAAAAATTTACGACTGAGCTTGAAAATTTAAGTCACCCATCAAGAAAGCCGCCGTCAAACCAAACAGAATTAAAACCAGTTTATTATCATTTCATTCTGTCACGAGAGGATTAATTCTTCCTGAACCTTTCAACAATATCTAGGCTGCGCGTGCCGAGATGAGATTGCTTTCTATGCCGAAGGAAAAAAAAGTCTGCATTCCTGTATGTGGTGAGATCTCCTGCCAGGAGTCACGATGAGCGAAAAAAACGAGACCCTTTTCGAATAGAGCAAGCCCGCCAAAGTCGCAAGCTTCTAGTGGGGTCCGGTGTATTCACCTCCGCGCTGGAAAGTCTGTACTGTGATCGAAAATTAAACATGAAGTATCATTTCCTTTAATTCTTAAAACTGCAGTCGTGTTTGTTCAAACGGTAAAACTGGTTTGGTCCTGCGACTGCTTGTGTGATAGACGTGACGTACGGAGGAAAAAGAAAAAAAAGGTCACTGATCAGCAACACGGACATTTACATGACCTTATTTCTGCGGTATTCATGCAAATGTCGTGCCACACCCCAAAATTTGCATTTTCGTTCCCAGCATCACTCTCTTCATTACTTTCTATGTCACAAACTGTAACACTCCATCTACTCCTTGACATTGATCTTTGTAGGAAGGTAGACTGGCGGGTTAAAATACGCCATACAGTGTCAGAATTTTGAGAGATCGTGTTGAAAAAGGCTGAGGAAGAACGTGAACTTTGGTTTCTAAGGCCCGGTTCAGACGCCGCTCCACTCATGTGCCGAACCTAACTTATGAAGTAAGTACGGCAAAAGAGCGGCGTCTGAATCAATTTGGTACGGCAGTTTTAGTTTGGTGCGGCAAAAGCGTTAAGTTCGACAGAGTCTGTCGAACTTAACTTAGGTTCGACACACGGTACGCCGTCTGAATCAGATGTCGCGCCAGTGTCGCTCCAAAGTCGAACTTATTCAGTTAGGTTCGGCACATGAAAAGTACGGCCTCTGAACCAGGCCTAAGTAATATGAAAAATCCTTTCTGTTACTGAAAAGACTAAAAAAAGATTAAAACAGCAAAACCAAACTGTAAACCAATGAGTTCAGTGGCCCCCTAAAAAGTGGAAAAGAGATTTGAATCATTCAGTGAAAAAAAGACGTAATTGAAGAAAGCAGAGCCAACTGATCCTCAAAGCGAAGAGAGAAAGGAAATCCAAAACAAAGCTAAAAAATTTCTTGTATTAATTGCATTTTGTCTTTCTGGTTTGAAACTGGAACTTTTCGCCGGGGCTAAAGTTCTCTTTTGAGACCATGAAATAAGAAAAAAAATCATTTCTTCATATATTATTTCTCTTTGCTCCATGATTTACTCACTGTAGGAGTACACCTTAGAAGAAAGGAATCTTGATTCGCACAGAATCGACACGTGTCAGCCGTTAATTTTGCCATTCGGCGCGTGCTTTTGCTATGTACTTAAATAATCCGATCCTTGAGGTACAATAGGAGACTCTCAGGTTGTTAAATGAAGTGCACCCCAGCAAAAGGGTATTGTTTGTTCTGGTGTGTCGGTCTACTTTATACGTATCTCACCTCACGTACAAATCACAAATATCGAGTTTAAAGGAACAATTCTGTAGGTCTTCTCGGTGATTTTTTATTTACAATCCACAGGCCGCACTCTAATCAAAATATTAACACAAAAAACAAGCAACTTCTGCAAAATTTCAACAGTGTGCAAATGGAAGCAAGCACGACGCCACCGAGTCTGTGAATGTTATTGGAGTGGCAGAGTTCTAAAATGACTAGTTTTCGCGTTGACCTAATCAAAGACTTTATTGATAACGCGGTGTAATCACCACAGCTGTAAAAAACAAAACTTGTTCCGAGGAAAGCTGGCGCTCCGTGGCCAACAATGAAGGCGTTTTTCAAAGCGGAAATTGGCTTTAATGGACTGCTAAAATCTTGAATGCAAAAATTGCAAGCTCTCATGCGGCTAGCAGCATAAAGGGTGTTTAGGCACAATACAACACCATCCCGAAACGATTATCTGACTGTCAACTGACTCAACAAAAAATAACTGACATTAATTGATGGCGGGCGGAAATAGCCATGCTCTGAGTGCAAAAATTATAATTGCAGATATCACGTGACTTGCGACATGGGCCGAAAAACCGACGGATATTTATTACATTTGGGATTTTTACTCATTTCTTGTCGTTATTTATTCATGGCTGATCTTAAAATAGTCGAGGAAATCTCCAGCAAACTTAAGCCTAGCAAAAACGTGCTAACCAAAATAGAGACCGCACCGCGTGCAAAAAAATTTTCGTGGTATGAGAACAATTGCAATGCATGCCCTGGTCAATAAAAACGATCTTTTCAACTAATCTTTCCACTTGTACAAGTTACGGAATTTCTCAATTTTTGCGGCGTTTACTTCGGAGAGTCACCTTTGGATTAGTTCTCTGTCATAAAGCTTTTAGTCTCGCGGATGTTGGTCTTTGACGTTCAAAAGATAAAAGATAGCTGTAATATTGTTCTTTTGGCCGCGTGTGTGGTCCATAGGTGCCTAATGGAAGGCCACTCTCGGAACGATAGACGCTCCCAGCCAATCAGAGACGTGCTAGGGTGACGTTGAACAAGGGTAGCTGCGCGGGATTAGTTTTCATGCTGGAATTGACAACGGAGATCGGCTTTCACTAACTGAGGGAATGTTCACTGCGAGCAAAGTGAATGACTATTAACGTGGATTATGGCTTGAGAACTGCATATTTCGGGCTGTTGTTGGTTTCATTGCAATCGTGGTAACGTTTAAGGTGGAATTTCAATGCTCTTTGGCGTGCCTCGAAGACTCGAGCGAGCGTGTTTTGAGAAACAATCGCTAAGCTAAGATAAAGTTAGAAGCCCGCGTGGTCGTCGGGCTATCTTCATTATGAATGCTTTTTCGTCGCCAAATTCAACTTGGGCCAAAGATGCAATTCGAGAAATCGACCAGGTGAGCGAACATTAGTAATCCAGTGTTATTTTGCGGGGCAGTTCTCCTCTATCTTGTGTCCGAATCCTAATTTTATTGTTAAAATATTCTGTTGATCAACAGTATTGTTTACATTACTTCGTATAGATTTCGCGTCAAGCTGAAATCTAGGAGATTTTCCTATGCTTCTATGGCTGCCGAAAGCCTTCAGTATCCGCAGATATCCTCTAAAGTTGAAAATTGCTCAACTTTCAAAATCTGCGTCGCCAAATTTCGCAAAAAATCGCTGTGTAGGGGTAGTGTTTTCCGTCCCGATAAACGAAGCGCTATGAGGGAGGTCGCAAGCTTGTCCTACGGCATTTTGACCTTGGTGTTTTAATGCGACTTAACAGAAATGTCGTTGCGGACGCTGGTACGGTCGAAAACAAATTACCATCAGAAGATTTTAACTTAACACCTCAGAGAGGTTTATTTTGGACGTAATGCGCTTCTATTGTGGTTTGCAGTCGGGTTTTTCTCTTTCCGATAATAGAAAGGCCACCAAGTGTCTTCGAGGGCCAGACAAAACTGAGGCTCATAGCGATTTCCTTCTTCTACTTCCTTCATCTTCGTTATAACGATTTTAGACGAAGTCTTTGAAGATCTGTTTTGTAATATTAGATAGGCGCCGAAATAATTTCACTTCTGTGTCGGCTTGGCTTTTTTGTTGACTTTTTTGACGTCGAACAACAAAAGATCGTATTCCGGATTGATTTGCTCTGAATAAACCGATCGGGCGACAAATAGCTGGTTGAGAATCTGTTGCGAGTTTCGGTTATTACAATACTCTCAAATACCTATCACTTTGTCGGTTCTTGTTTGTTCCTTAAAGAGGTTTAAATTGGATTTTGTAAGCTAGCACCACGCAAAAGATTTCACCATTCTGTGAGCTAGATTCGCCTCGCCCTTACTAAATTTGTGGTTGTTATGCTTGTTAAGTCCCTCTGGCAAGCCTGCCAGAGTTGGGTGGTCTTTATAAGCACGTGCTTTTCTCTCTTGCAAGATAAATACTACCGAAAAGTAGCACAGAAATATTAGAAGCTCCAACTAAAATGTTAATTTATTGATGTTTACTAGTTTCGTAAACGATATTTACTCATGGAGTTAGTTAAACTTAAACGTACGCGCTAGCTTATCTCTTTAATCTTAAAAAATGAAAAATAATCACGTAGAAGCAGGAAGGCCGAGAAATTATTTTGGCTTTTACGCAAAACGTTTATTAATATATCTCGTTGTTTTCAGGGACATGCCAGGGGCAACAGAAAGGCTTTGGTAGTCCGTTCGAAACTTCAAACCGTGTTCAGAAAATTTGGCCGGTTCACTCAGAGCCACTGCGCCCCAGTGATTTTGGTTGGGTTTATTCCTCTGATCATTTGCGCGTTTGGTTTGACGAGAGCAACACTAGAAACAAATGCAGAGAATCTTTGGATTGAAGGTATGTTGAGCACTTTAGACCCAAATTTTTTGTTCTGTGGTTCTAGACAGAGAGCTCTAGCTGACATGATCAATAAGCTAGATATGTGGTGACTTTTACTGCCTTGTAGTAAAGTGGCCGATGACAGTTTTAAGCATTTTTTATCAACTGTTCCCGTAAGATGGACACCTACCTAAAATGAAAAAGCAAGAGTTGGTCCTTTTTTCCTGGACAGCTCTTTTCCAGGCACTGGTAAACAAGTTATCACATTGTTGGGAGGGGGGAGGGGGGGTGGTTGCTGGGGTTAATTTTTGCTGGGTATGTGCCACTTGCCTCTCAGAGCCCTTCCCCATTATAGTCTATTCTGTGGCCAATTATAGACCCCGTCTTAGTCACTTTTGGACAAATATGTAATTTTTGTGATCCCTACTTAGTCACTTTCTATTTTTATGAATTGACCTTTTTTAGATTGAGTGAAGATCACTTTACTTTTCATCTGCAGTACAAACATTCTGCTACTTTTGCTAACCATAAATTAAATATGAAGCACTTTCTTACTCCAAAAAATCTGAAAAATATGGAACACCATTCTAGTAACTCTATTGAAAATGAGACCCCGTTATAGTCAATTCAGTCATGAAAATGCGACCCCATCCAGCGGCACATCCACATTAGCCTCTTATAAGGAAGTACCCACCCCTCCCCCTCAGGTCACATTGACACCAAAAGCTACCACAGTTAATTTTTGCAGAAACCAAGATGAACACCTGTGGGACTGAGACTAGTATTTGTGATATATCCCTTTAAGTCCCGACAGTGACCAACATCAATTTTCTCCTAACAATATCCAGTAATTGTCAAGAGATACAGTTATGAGAATTAACAAATGATCACCAAAGAGAAAATACCTTGATCTGTTATTAAATTCTCTCGATTGATTCTTAAAGGAAATGTATGGAGATCAGTTTGGAGAATTTGTATGTTGATATTGGGACTTAAAGGGATATTAGGGTGCATGCGTTTGGGTGGATATGGATCAAGATTTATGATTCAATATTAATGGTCGTGATGAATCAAAGGAACCAGTCAAGGACTCATTGCTATCTTTGATTCCTTAACCCTTTAAGTCCCAGTAGTGACCAACATCAATTTTCTCCTAACAATATCCATAGATTGTCAAGTGCAACATCTATGAGAGTTAATCAAATGATCACAAAGAGAAAAATCTCGGATCTTTAATCAATTTCTCCCAACTGATTCTGTATGGAAATGTATAGCGAATTTGTTTGTGGATATTGGGGCTTAAAGGGTTAAGGTCCAGGTGATCCTTGATCATAAACCTTGATCCTCATTGCCCCAAAGGAATGCATACTCAGGAGCCATTTATATAAGGCGAGCCAGCATGGTGAGCCAGGCAGGCCTGCTTGACTCATACCTTATTTCCTCTTAAAAATTTTATGTTAATATAAAATAGCAGGCCAGCTGACTTACCGAGATACCTTTTGGCCAGCAGGTAGGCCAGCGCTCCATTTAACATCAAAAAAATTTTGGAGGAAAAATTAGTAGAAAACAAATCTTTGACAAAGTAGGACATTATTTTATAGTCAAGCCTACCCCCAGAATCCACTGATTAATGAATTTATTTTTGCAAAAGTTGGATTTGTTTGTTGTTGTAGATTTCAGATTCATTTCTACATTCCTACATGTGTAATGAGCAGTGAATTTACACGCGGAATGAATTTCTGCGAGCTCAGTTTTTCTTGAATTTGATGTTTTTAAAGCAATTTTGTCCGTTCTAAGATTTTTTAATATGACCGCTTGCTCAAAAGTGTTCATCAAAAATTCACTGCTCATTCTGCATACAGGAATGCAGATTTCAACTTGATATTTGTTGTGGCAACAACTAACAGATTTGTTTTTCAAATAATCGATTCATTAATTGAATCTTGGGGGGTACGCTTGACCTGGTGTGACTGTAAACTTCTTTATTTGTTGTAGACAAAGAGCACATTTTTCTAAGATACAATTGTCTTTCATGAAAAAAAAAAACTGTCACTGGCAATTGTTTTGAATGTCAAGTACATACGTTAAGTATGGTCCTTTGTAGTGTCCCTTTAGTTTATGTTGTAAGTGATTAAATGTGTGTAATGTATGATGCCAGGTAGGCTTTATCACAAAAAAATACAATATTTCTAATTCTGGAGAGTCGAGCTCTTACATGAAATTACACAGTAAACCTTTTCCTATTGAAAAAAAGATAAAGAAATGGAGTGGGCCACCTGGAAGTAAAGACGATGTCATGCCCTGAATTATGCTGTGTGTAATAAAAGATGGTTCTTAATGTTACATTGTGTATGACAGGGTTCAAAATGAACTTTTTCTACGAGCTAAGAAAGATTTGATGGAGAAAAAATGTTCCATGGGGAAAATTGAGGTCACCAAAAGTTATTTCCCTTTCTTTTTCAGTAAAACAACTAGAAATATAAGCCCCTACATTGTATTAATTAGATTTACATGACCTCATTTAAATAATCTCATAAGTTAGTTGTGTGTTGATTTCCTGTTTTTTGTATATATTTTTATGTATGGTCATATTTAAGCTGCACAAGGTTAAGGTGGTTGCTAATTTGACACTAATGCAGCATTTTTGGCATCTAGTACCCATTTTTACTTTTCATCTTCTCAAAATGCTTACAGATAAGCAAACATGTTTATGGCTTCCGTCTAGTCCATATGGGGTGTGAAAGTCGCTTGGATTTAGCTCTCTGTTTTTGAAATTATTTTAATTTTATTATTTGTGCATTGGATTGGAGCCAACTTTAAAGCAGATGCATGTGATTACAATTTCCATCTTTTGCATCCAACAGGTCATGATTCTAATTTAGCCTTTAGTGCTGAAAAATGCTTGTCAATTAATCTCCTTAAGTGAAGCTAAGATTGTTAATAGACGCCACTTCTTTAGCTGAGGAGCAACACTTTAGCTTTATATTGCAAGAGAATTAACAGCAGATATAGAATTCCTAAACAACTGGAATGATTTGAATCATGTGTACCTTTATCGTAAGCTTGGTGTTGAATTTTCTGCTAGAATCCCGTTAATGATGTTAAATCAGGTTTTAAGAAGCGTGGAATTTCCTGTCTCAAAGTAAAAAAATATAGATTAACAAAATTGCTTTCATGTTCCTGTTTCATCATGGGACAGTTACCTTTTTCTTGCATCCAGGTTTTGGCTGTGTTGTTTACTTTGTACATGTAAATGCTTTGTTTTGGAGGTGGATGCTTTGAGGAGGTACTGACCCTTGGCAAAAAGCATCAGCTCATTCGTTCAGAAAAGTCAGTGACCAATTTCTCTGAATTTGAGGAGAGGCTCTTTCAAACCCTGTTGATGTAGTCAATTACTCTACTGAAGTCACTACTGCTTACTGTACCTCAAGTTTTACTGAAACCCCTTAAAACATAACATTAAAAAAACCCAACTGTCTGGAAGTAAACATGAGGTGGCAAAATCAGCAGCTTAGAACTACCTAGCATGGCGCAATGCCACAACCTCTGCGCTAGCCATAGCCTGAGAAAAAAAGCTCAGATCTGGGTAGTGACACGTCATCAAACAACAACTTTATGTATTTCAAACTGTTTGTTACAGAAATAAATAATACACAACCTGCAAATGAGGCTCTGCATGTAAGGGTAAAATTCTGAAAAGCAACATGACCTTGAAACAGTGACATATATAGGGCAGCAGAAATGGCGACAAACGACAAAGATGGGTTGAAATTGCAAATACAATAGTAAAATACCAACAGCGACATGGCATCCTCCTCAACCCTTTAAGCCCCAGTATCCACATACAAATTCTCCAAACTGATCTCCATACATTTCCTTTAAGAATTAGTTGAGAGAATTTAATGAAACATCAAGGCATTTTCTCTTTTGTGATCATTTTTTATATTCTCACAACCTTATCTCTTGACAATGTATGGACATTGTTAGGAGAAAATTGCTGTTGGTTACTATTGGGACTTAAAGGGTTAATAGGCGAAACGGTAGGTTTTGAAATTGAGACTAGGGACATATGTAACCTCCATAAGAAGGCCTCGTAACTAGCAAAGGCCATTTGAGGCGTGTTGTGAAAAATAATTAGGTAGATTAGTAAAAAAAAAGAATGTAAAGAAAACAAGTGTCAGTATGGAATTTCTGCAGTTGTTCTTCAGATGTCAAAAAATGTTGGCTGTTTTCTCAGCCTAAACAACCCTCAACCTCAACTTAGTCTAGTCTGATGTATTGACCATTTTGCCATACAGCTTCCTACATTTCTGCACCATTGTAAATAATGAAGTTAACCATTCCTGTTTGTTATCGTAGTGGGTGGCAGACTGGAAGAGGAGTTAAAATACACAAAGAAATCTCTTGGAGAGGGATATGGCGGAACAAATGAGCTCCTTATACAGACCCCAAATGAGGAGGGGATCAATATTCTTTCTGTGAAAGCAATGAGGCAACACTTGGATGCTGTGACAAGAGCCACAAATGTTACTGTGGAATTATTTGACCAGTAAGTACATCACAGTGTTTTAACCCTTTAAATCCTTCTATCAAAATTTAAATTCTCATTTGTTGTCCCTATACATTTCCTATAGAAGTAATACTAACATTTGGATTTTGATTTGATTCATGCTTTCAACTTATTGTGTCACTCATCTTGCAGTGAAATTGAAATAGTTTCTGTCTGGAATAGTTTCCAGTTGGCACTTTCTGACAGACTCACAGGACTGCTGAAGATAATTTCACTTACCCACAGGGCCTCCAAACTTCTACTTTAACTTGCCCAAAATCAAAATTTACTGGCCCTGGGCAATCTGACCTGGGTTTTTCCCTGCCCTGCCTTGTATTGATTATACTGATGAAATTAATTTACAGAACTTGGACATTGAAGGATATATGCTACACTTTGAGCCTTCCTCCTATGAACAACCATTTGGATTATGTAAGTTATCATGCATCATTTTTATTAAAATATGATATGGCACCAAGGTGTGTATCTGAGTTATTCAGGATCAAAAGTACACACCAACACCAAAAAAACTGTGATTTTGAACTACACCGCTTTGATACAGTGGTCTATGGGAAGCATTTGCTGCACTACCAAGGACCTTTTATTTAATTAAAGGTCAATGGTGAGCTAAGAAAATTAACAAGCTTCAATGCATTCAGTAAACATAGATGTGGTGTGGACCTTTCAAGCCATATAGATAATGATAGTAACTGCTGTGACCTGTGTAAATTCTGAGTCATGTATGTTTGTATATAGTTTTAGGTTTTAGGTAAGATCATTAATTTAAAAATCATGTAATAGATTAGTGTGCCAGTACTTAGAAAAGTGTCTCCAATTAGCTAATTGTTAAGCTAAATACATTGACACTAAAATAAATTTATTATTATTATCATCATGTGGACTGGGTCAGTAGTAACAAAATAACATGAAATGTCTGGACATGCCAGTATTCAACAAAGGTTAGTGTGGGTTACTCAGGGCTCAAAATAACCACCAGTCAACAGACAATGTCTGGCCAGAATGGGGACTTGATCAGCTGAAACCTTCACTCAACATACAAGGTCATGCAGATGTAGAACATGCTTAATGTTTATTCAATTAAAAAAACAACAAAATCATCTCAACTGTAAATCTTCAATTTTGTCTCTGTAAAAATACATTCACATTCACGAAGAGAAAATCACACAAACGTAAAATAAAAAGACTGAAGAATAGTGTAGACAAACTCTCAGTGTCCATTTTAGGGAGCTGTTAATTGATTAATGACAATTGCTTGTTCTCTTGAATAAATGTGTTACTTGGCTTCCTCTACTTTTATAGTATTGTCAACTGTCCCAGTTGAAAGACGCTCCCTAAAATGGACACCCCGTGCATTCTTCATTATTCTCCAGGCTTTTTATGTTACTCTCTAGATCAGATGAATAAAGAACAAAGCTGGACCTTAAAACTGCTTTGCTTATGAATTAAAGGGCAAATTTGAAGTAATATCGATATCAAGAGTTATCTGGGGCCTTTTCCCATGCACTTCTTTACTTGTAGTAAGTTGATTCAGGCTTAGCTATTTTAGGCTACTAACAGTTTGATATGGTGAACACTCTTTGCATGAAGTCCTTTTCTTCATCATTGTTCAACAGCTCCTTCCCCAACTTTTGCCATGTGTTATCATTACACCACTGGATTGCTTTTGGGAGGGTGCCAAACCACTTGGGCCAAAGGAACTAGTGAATCTAGGGTAAGTTACACTTTTGCATAGATTATTATGGAATAGTGGAGGCGTGTGTGGCCGGGTGGTTGACACCTCTAACGGATCTGGAGGTCCGGGGTTCAAGCCTCGCCTGTAGCATTGTTTCCTTAGACAACAAACTTTAGTCCTCTTTGTCTCTCTTCACCCAGGTGTATAAATGGGTACTGGCGACATACTAGCTGCTAGGGGGTAACCCTGCGATGGACTAGCATCCTGTCCAGGGGGGAGTAGCAATTCTCCTAGGTGCTTCATTCTAATGAAACTTGGACAAGCTCCAGCCGTTTGGGCCTTTGGCTCGTTTGCAGCTTCACCTTTTTACCTTTTTTTATGGAATACAAGCAATTTTGCTACCGTACCCTACAGGGTCTGGCAGGGGTGTCCCTGATCCTGCATTCTTGCTCCTTTTTTGCAACAATCCCTCCTCCTGAACTTCTGTAATCTCCACCTCAAGTACCATTTTCTTTCCCAATACCAAATCCTGTGCCAAGATTTTGTTGAATCCTGCTTTCCAAGTATCAGTCAAATCCTTTCCCGAATCCTGCACTGTATTTTGGCCAAATCCCGGATCCTGAAGATACCCTTCCAGACCCTCATCCTAAGCTACAATTGGCAACAAAATTAGTTGGACACTTTTTAAAAAGAGAAAATAACGCTCTCCCTCCTCCATCACGTCCATGCAATGTTGTGCTGCTGGTCGAGCTACCTGACAACAACAACAAACACCCAAACTTGGAATGGAGGGGGGTAGGGGACGGATGTGGATTTTTTGGTTCTCCAAAGTTACATGTACCCCATTAAAGGACAAAGTTTCAACAATTTTCCTGCCAATTGTAGGTATGGAAAAAAATGTAGAAACTCTTATCTTGATCTCAAATTCCAATGAATATAATATCCTATTCTACTCGAAAACCCTAACACTTCCAGTGGCGAATTGAGAGGAGCCCCCCCCCACCTTTATCTCGAGGTCTGGATCCGGCACTGCATTTCTACACACTATCAGAAACAAAATGGCTTGAAACTCCACCCCTTGCAGTGGCACATGTCCACATCCCTGTATCTGTGATCTATAACTGAACAGTTACGCTGCAAAATGGATCCATTTGAACATTCTTTACAATAAACATACAAAACTGAAAAGTAGTGTTCAGGGCTGTCAATAAGGACCGGTTAGCTGGCCAAAACCGCTGGCTACTTTCATCTCCTTCTACCATAACTGCAACAAAAAATAAGCACCATCAAATAAAGTTGCAAAGAATCTGTTTCCCAGTTTTGAACAATGTTTTGAACTCATATTCTAACAGGTTTAGACCTGTGAAATGTTTGAACCGTAGAGAAATTTGGACGACATTGTTCCCAGTCTTGCGTGCATTTTGACGAAACAACATGGCGTCCTCAATAGGAAACACCTCTTGAAAACCACTGGAAACGCCATTTCTGAGGCTGTAATTTTTTAAATGTGCCTAGATGCCTTGGCTGTCAAGAACGTGCACCTTTGGCACGAGTTCCAGAGCCTCCTAGTATTCATTATCAGCCTGCTACTTGAAAACTTTTTGACAGCCCTGAGTGTTTAGCACATTGCATAATATGGGATAGTAAGCCAAAGGAGTAAGGTTGTTGTGAAGCAAGATCCAAACGCTTGTTTTACAGGCCTCTTGGATCTCTGAAGTGGACCACTATTAACCCAGAAGAGCTTGTAGAACTAATGCAGTCCTCCTATTCAGATGACCAACTACCTTTTAATTTAGCAGAATTATCAGGACTGCTTAAAGAGGTGGGTGTGAGAAAGAGTAACTCATTTTGCCTGGTACAGTGAAACTCTGCTTAATGAACCCCGCTATAACAAAGATGTTTTGTAACGAAAAACATCTGAAAGCCCGGAAGAATTAGTATAATTGCTGTAACAAAGTCCCTGCCATTACGAATGGATTTTGATGGTCCCAACACACAATGATCTGCACTGTAACGGATATTTTGTTCGGTTGCTCGCAACAGTCAGTAAAACCGACGGATTTGAGTAGAAATCTCAGCTTGCTTTAATTGAAAGTGTTTTTGAATTTGATGTCTTGATTGTCAGCGCTTAACACTTACGGTTTACGGTATCGGATGAATAGCAATAACTTTTTTTACGTTCCCTATTGAATTTTTGGTAATTGTTATATATTTGATTACCCCACTGTAATAAATATTTTTGTTGTTATCCAGATGATTTGTTAAAACAGGGTCTTTGCTATGACGAAGACCCTGCTGTAACGAACAATTTTTTTTGGTACTGTGTCAGTTCGTTGTAGTGGGGTTCCACTGTACACTACATATTTTTTTTACAAAATCTGTAAATTACTTACTTACTTCCAGTCGATGCCTAAAAGATGACAGGAAGAAAACTGACCCCATAGGTCCCTAAGTAGTGCGTTAATAGATACAGTTTATTTAATATATCTGTAAATTCACTGTACATAAAAAGGATACCGTCCAACCATCCACATGTAACACCCAAGCAGAAATTTAGTTAAAGGCAGTTATTTGCTGGCAAGAATGGGACCAGTTAGGGGGTCTGTTCCATATATCACTGTGAGAGTTGACTGCATACATACATGTACACTGCAGTGCATTAATTTTGTTCCAACCTCCTCAGGACTATGGTTTTAGTACATTTTTTATTGATGAAGGCTTATATAATCCTTTTTGGACCCAGAGAACTGTAAGTGCTTTAGAAAGATGTGTGTACTATAGAGGTATATGCATAAAAGGAAACTTCAATGGTCGTTTTTGTCAGATGCAATGTAATCACACTAAACCTTCAACACAAGTTGTATTTAGTGAATAAAACTTACAACTGGCTTTTGATTGTCAAAGTCGCGATTAAGGTGCCATAACTTGTGTTGTGTAGCATAGGCACACTATGTTCAACAAAGTTGCACCTTCTAAATCCACCATCAGAGAGGTTTGTGAATAACATTCTGAATCAATACTCTTACCTACTCTATGTAGGCTGGCATCACAAGTGGCTACGTGAAGAAACCTTGTTTAGATCCATATGATCTAGACTGTCCTGAGACAGCACCAAACTACAAAACCAAGAAGGTACAGCTTCAACATATTTAGCCATAATCTGTACCTTAATATCTCTTAATGCCCCCTCCAAAATGTTATGGGCAAGGCAATTTATACCCTTTCTGTGAGAGGGGACGGGCTCCTTTATTAAACTGTGGCCACTGAATCCTTTATCATCAACATGTATATTCTCTGAACTCTCCTCTGTTATTTCTTATGTACTAGTAAGGAGAATTGGTTTACAGATCAAGACACTATGTCTATGATATTTATTTCGTTTTTTTCCTATCCAAGTGGTTTATTACACTTAAGAAGTTTGATGACAATTTTGTGAGGCTTTTCAGAGTTAAGCCTTAAACACCTTGACAGATTTATGGTGAAATGATTTGTGATCTTAACTTTTGAATTTGTGGGTGAAATCCTATGACACTAACATTTCTGAAAAATGATGAAACCTCTTTGGTAGAACTTTTGCATGTGCTTTTTTATTTCTCGGGATTTTAAAAATTTGGGATTTCTTAGTGAATTTTCACCTTCCCTCGGTTAGCAGTGATTATCTTGGGGTAAATGGAGGTGGCATGTAATTATTTGTAACATCATTATGGTTATTTCTTTTTGTATTTGTTTCAGAAACCAGATATAGGTGTTGAGCTAACTGGTGGCTGTCAAGGATTCGCTACAAAGTTTTTGGATTGGCCAGAAGAGCTCATTGTTGGAGGCGTTGTTAAGAACAAAACTGGTATTATAAGAAGGTATGTTTAACTTTGAGGGGTGGAAAAGTAAAGTCATGTATTGCTCTATCGCTCCTCGTCATCTCATTTTTAAGCCATTCACTGAGAAGTTTTTTTGGGAAATGGGTCGGGGGGCGGGGAGAAGAACCATAGGGCATGGCTTCCAAGTCATTTGTCATCACTTCATTGGTTTCAGATTGTTATTGGCATGGGTTAATTTTATCCTTTTAAGCCCCAGTAAGCTCATCCGATTTCTCAAGACTGACCTCCTCATGGGCTTGGATAAATTGTACTTGTAAAATGGCTTATTCTGCCTGGTGGCAGTGTCCGTAAAAATCGCTTATTCTGCTAAAAATTCTGCTCGGACACCTTTATTCTGCTCGAATTCTGCTCGGTATCCAGAAGAGTTTTCGGCCCTTCAGGCTGTATTTATTGTCGCAAATATATGAGGGAGCCTGGGCTTAACCCCTAAAAACGAATTGGATATTCATTATGCGCAGTGAAATTGTAATTCATCTTACTTTTAATGTGAGTGCGTTGTTGCTATTAAATAATCATTTGTTTTTATTTAGTTTTAAATTTTGTTACAACTGTTATGCATATCATTAGTGCTACTGATTTTCCTTTATTCTGCTCAAATTCTGCTTGAAAATGCCTTATTCTGCCGGCAGAATTTATCCAAGCCTACCTCCACACATTTCTAACATCAAATTTTTGCTCCCTTTCTAGTGCTGCAGCATATCAAAGTATTATAATGTTAATGGGGAAACAACAGCTTTTTGAACATTGGCAAGGACAAGCTAAAGTGGGGCATTTTGAATGGTCAGAAGAAGCAGCATCACAAGTTCTAGAATCTTGGAAGCGGGAATTTACAAAGGTACGTAAGATGAATAGCAATTATTTTACTTCTTTTATAATTCCCCCCTCACCCTTTCCTTGCATTCATTTACCCTTGAAACAGAGGAATAATGGTTGTTTGGATGGAAAACTTGACCAAATTTTATCCAAAACCAAATTTGTCTCTCTGAAATCAGTTTACAGTTACATGTACAGTCAGCGATCTCCATTAACACCATTTATCACACGATTAGATGTGTTAATCTGGAGCTAAAGTTAATCTCAGTGCACTGGACAATCTTTGCTTAAATCTCTCTAGACATGTAGCAAACATTGAAGATTTCCTTATTTTATGTTATACACCCATAATGGCTCTGTACAGCAGCAGGCAAATGTTATGACTTTTTGTGTTTGTCTAGAGGTTTGACTACATGTATGTTAAAATTCAAATTTTGTATGTCATTGATCTGTTTTTTGTTATTTTCAAACACTTAATTGCAGACCATCAACAATGTTGATCAAAGCAAGGACTCCACAGTGCTTGCTTTCTCTTCAACGTCATTCAATGATCTGTTAAAAGACTTCTCCCAGACAAGTAAAACTAAAGTGGCCATTGGTTATGTGCTCATGGTAAGGCATAAAAGTGCAAGCAGATAAGAGCATTCTTGGTGTCATGTCATTTCCTGCTGTTTATAATAATGATAATATATTTTCTTTGTCTCTGAAGTACGTGACTTCAGATTGTATAGTTCAGTCAGCCACAAAATTTTTCAGCCTCGATTCTGTTTTAGTTTGTAGTTTGATGTGGGTAGCACAAACATTGTTTTTTCACAAGTATCAACAATGTACAACTGTATTTGCTTGAAAGGACCAAGAATATTAAATGTCGCAAGAGCTGGAAATTTGTGTCGAGCAAAGATCTCACGTGTACCTTCCCATTGTCTTGGTTATGTGTAGTTTTTGCAGCAAGCTTTGTCAATGAATTATTTTGAAAACTGGCAATAAGTTTATTGATCAAGGTCAAACTCCCTCAACTAGTTTGAAAGAACCAAAGAGAAAACTAGGGAGAAGAGTACTCCTCTGAGCTGTATTTTTTTGTTGCAGCTTATTTATGCATTCCTGACCCTTAAACGCTGGAGTGATGGTGTAGATTCCCATGGGGCATTAGGGTTTGGTGGCGTTCTTCTTGTCACTGTTGCTGTAGCTTCAGGCCTGGGATTTTGTTCATTCATTGGAATCAAATTCAATGCTGCCTCTACCCAGGTGAGTCTTGAAAAAAATAAATTTGCTTTGAATTAACCCCACTTACTCTGTAAACCCAGTGGTGGTTTCACTTATTTATATTCAACTTTGAATATGCCTGAGCTCACTGCCACATCAGTTACTTTTAAATGGCTTCAATAATAGCTTTCAAAAATATGCACAACTGCATCTGTTATGGCAAAACAAAGGCTAAGATGATAGCATGATGATGATGATGATGATGATGATGATGATGATGATGATGATGATGATGATGGTGATGAGGACGATGACGTTGATGACGATGATGACAATGATGATGATGATGATGATGGCAATGATGATGACAATGATGATGATGATGATGATGATGATGATGATGATGATGATGATGATAATGACAATAATGACGACGACAATGGTGATGAAGATGACAATGATGATGGTGATGATGGTAATGATGATAATGATAACAATGGTGATGATGATGGCAGTGATGATGACGATGATGATGATAATGACAATGATGATGACGAGGAGGATGTTGATCATAACAGAAGTAGCTCCTTCACTATTATTGCTGACCGTTTCACCTACTACCAAATAATACAAATTAAACTCATCACAAATAGATGAGCTTGGGAACTGGTGCCTAAAAGGTTAGCGGGGTGCCAGATGCCAAGCTGCAGGGGAGGTATCCATGGCAACCCTGGAACGCGGGAACCACCCAAAAGAGCGCAAGAATCTGCAATGATTCGCAATAGCAAAGCGTTTGATCCGCAAAGATCAGCTGATAACACTGCACGTGTAAAGCAATGAACCTTGAAACCCTGTGAAACCTCTAGAGGCCACCCCAAAGGTCACGTGCTGCAGATGAGGGAGACCGCTGGCTGCATTTGCTCACATTTTAACTTTGCCTAAATGATATTTAGCCACATTTAACCTATTAATTGATAGTCAAGCAAGCTATGGTGATCATGTCATGTTATTTTGCATAATCTTGTAAGGATTACAATGTAGTAGTGACATGTGTCCATTTACTGACCAAAATTATCAAATACCTTTGAAAACTTTTTTTCTGTGCAGATCCTGCCATTTCTTGCTCTGGGTTTAGGTGTGGATGACATGTTCCTGCTTGCGCACACTTATTCCACTTCAAAGGATAAAACCAATGTAAGTTATTATAATTGTTTTGTTGCAAAATAAACATACTACACTTGCTGAGAATGATGAAAATTTTATTTAACTTTTGTTAATAGACCTATTCGGTTATCTCATTGTTGTACCCAATTCAAGTCTCCCGGAGTGAAGATTCTTTGTGTATTGTATTATGGCATTCACATTTAAATGATATGGAAATTTCTGAAACAAAACGTTTTATTCCTAAAGGGTTTGAATTGGGTACAACATTGAGCTAGCCGAATAGGTCTATTTCCTAAAAATAGATCCAGGTCCTTTTGAAGTCATCATTGATAGAATGAGATTGGCAACAGGTACTTTTAAAGGGAGTGAACAATGTACCCATGGCAACCCTATCAATAATACCACTCAACAAAGAACCAGTGATGAAACCAGTGGAATAGTGATGTGAACTATGATGTACTGACCAGGCCCCAGTTGTTCGAAATGGATAAATCTCTGTCCAGGGGATAATGTAGTAGTACTGGTTTCCCCAATTCTTATCCACTGGATCACGTTTTATCTATTGATACGTGCAATCCATTCCTTGAACAAACCTGCATCAGTTGGAGAGGGTCAATCAATCCAAACTTAAATTGTGGCTGCTTTTACCTGTGCGTCACAAGGATTAGCAAGCTTTAAAGTGGACACAATATAGTAGCCCTTTATACCCATGACAGCTACCTCACAGAGCACCTGATCAAAAAAGGTACTGCTTCAGACCCAAGTTTGCCCAATTTGTTAGTTAGTCACAGTAAAGGCCAGGGATGTCTCTTAGAGCGGGCTGCTCGCTAGTATCACTGGCTAAATAAGGGCTTACCACCAGCCCAAATAACTCTGGAAAACCAAAAATGGGAAATTTTGAAGGAGCAATTGACTAAAAAAGTCAGCTTGACTATTAAAAAAGCCTGCTAGCTTTTCCTTAGCTACACTCTGAAAGACTTACAGGGTGAGTGGCCTGCTAGGTTTCCCTGCAAAAACTTTACCAGACATAATCAGTAGAATTAATGATGTTTAAGTCATGACTACATTATTTCTTTTTATCCCAGGAGCCAGTGGAATATTGTCTCGCCAGCACAGGTGTCAGTGTGTTCTTAACATCATTCAACAATATGTTTGCCTTTTTCATGGCGGCCCTGATTCCCATTCCAGCATTGAGGTCCTTTTCATTGCAGGTGAGTACCGGCGTCAGGATGCCAAATGTAATACTGATTGGTGTGGAGTTGCTAGTTTTATTGCTTTGCCAGTAATGTAGCTGAATTGAAATTTAGGCCTAGTTAAACTCAAGACAGGGCTGGCTAGCAGGCTATCGGATTAGATATGTGGGGGTTTTACAGCCTTTCTCTTTAGGTCAAGCGCTGATGAAAATAGCAATATTGATATCGGCGCTATATAAGTATTATTATTATTATTATTATTATTATTATTATTATTATTATTATTATTATTAAACCATTATGTTTGTGTGTCATTGCCTGTTGTGGCTGATGCTTATTTTCTCCGGACCGTTCCCCCCTTTGATAATTATTAGGTAATTATGTTACATTTCACTGGTTTGTAGTGTTACAGTGTTTCGATGGATGCCCTTCTGAAGGTTGTCAAGGATATGCATTACACTCAGCTGCAGTCTAGAACTCCACCAGCCTTACACACACTCCCCCCACACACCCCACGCCCATCTCTGTTGGTAAGTTTGAAGCCGGGAGGGAGGGCAGGAAGCACTTATTTATAGGGGGAACCTAATTGAGGCAAGGCACTATTTTGCAAATGGTTCTGTTAACCACGCTGTGTTATTTTTCTGCAGGCTGCCATTGTTGTTGTGTTCAATTTCTTTGCTGTGATTGTTATCTTCCCTGCAATGATTGCTGCTGATATTAAAAGAAGGAAAAGTGGCAGATATGATCTATTTTGTTTTTGTCAAAGGTATACACAGTTGACTTTGTCTTAACGAACATCTCTATAAGATGGACACCTGTGTAAAACGGACAACTAGAGTTGGTCCCTGCCTTTCTTGACTCCCTTTTTTTCACTCTCTATAAGATGGACATCTAAGACACCTCTGTAAGACAGACATTTCTGTGAAACAGACACACAGAGTTGGTCCCTGTTTTCCTTTAGTCTCTTTGTTTCTCTCTCTATCAGACAGACATCTCCCTAAGACACCTCTATAAGATGGACACCTCTGTCAAACAGACACCTAGTGTTGGCCCCTGACTTTCTTTAGTCCCTTGATTTCACTTCCTATTAGACAGCAGACATCTCTCTAAGACAGACTCTAATTGCCAGTCCTAAAGGTGTCCATCTTATACAGAGTTAACTGTGCATTTTCATTTAATTTTATCAAGAGTACATCTTACAACAGTAGTGTGAGGGGGTTGTTGGGGTTGCAGTTGTGTTACTTCAAAACCTTTGCCTGATAATGATGCAGCGGTTATGAAGTGGATAATTGAGTATTCGAATTATCTCCTTATAAAATTGCAATAGTGTTTATTTCTTTGAGACTATCATGTTTCTGTATTGGTGTCATAACATTATTAAGTTTCCTTCTCTTTACTGTCTTCCTTGTAGGACGGATCCCCAGAGGATATCTATAACACCAAGCACATCAGTCGATAGCAGTCTTGTTCTTCATCGTTATCATAACTCATCAAACTCCTTGTCGGACTCCTCAGCTATTGTACAGGGAGTCAGCAGCACTGTTATTCTTCCTGGGAGCATCCAAGCAACAGCATCACAAACAATACATTTACCTAATGTTGTGACTGTTCAAGCCTCTGCTCTTGCAGAGGTGGGTGGCCAACCAGTCTCACAGCGGCAGCACAGGAGATGGCATGGTAGGAAAGGTAAACAAGTGTCAGAATCAGAGGACATTGAACTGTCAGCCACCAGTAATGTTTGCAGTGGTAATGGTGTTGGCATAGGCAGAGGTAAAGCTGGGGCATCAGCAAATGTTGTGCAAGTGCAGGTGGCTGGATCAGTGGCTGCAGAACAAAAAAGCAGCAAAGAGTCTGCTTCAAAACCGCCTTTCCAAGGCTATAGCAGAGCATTCAAAGTTCATCCAGATAAGAGTGTGATTGACAGATGCAGTTGCATGGATCCTGCCGCTTCATCAGAACAAAGAAGCAAGAGACATGCTGCAAGAAGCACATCAAAGGATAGTGTTGTCAATGAAAATGCCCGGTATTTTGCCAAAAATTATTCAAAGGACAGTGTCATCAATGACAATGCTGTACTTTTTAGGAGCAGGGAGGAGACTAAGGCATGGGCCAGTGCACCGAGAAATTTTCAATTCCAGGTGTCAGCAAATGCTGTGTCAAATGGAGAAACCTCCATGGCCACAGCAGAGTGTTCTTCTGTGCCAGAACCTTCGAGAACATCAAGTTCACACTCGAGATCTTCATCAGGAGTTGAATCCATGGAGAGAGCTTCTACATCTGTCAGTTGGTGTGACACTCAAGGAGCATTCAGCGGTTGCTGGCAGAAGCTGGAATTTCTCTCACTTACTGCCTTTGCCAGGGACCATTATGGCCCCTGGCTGCAGAAAATGCCAGTTAAGGTATCCATTCGTTCTCAGTATAAAATCAATATAATTCAAGAGGAAATTGCACTTCTATAACATAGCGAAAATATGTAGACAATTGCACCACTATTGTGTCTGTTAATACTTTTGTTGGGTTGATTGTTAAAAGCTTCCCATGAAAACTCCTTGAAAGACAACTCTAGCTATTCACGGTACATACATGGTCCGAAATTAACTTTTTAATACGGGCACAAACTGGCGATCAAGTATAAATTTTTGGTCGCCAGGGGGTAAATTGTGGTGGCCAAAAATTCCCCCTCCCTTTTCTTCAAATAAAAGTTTAAACACAAAATAAGGAAAAATGTATTGTAAGGACGTTTTTATGCTCAAAAATTGCACTACTTCTGCTCCCGATACTAGAAGGCAACCATACATGTACAAGTGAAATCTTTTTTTTTTTTTTCCACAAGTTACCTTTTGGAGATTACAGAGCTATCTGATGTAGAATGTAGGAACAGAAAGCTATCTGCCCATGACTGCACTGATCTTATCAAAACTCTATTTTCTTCTGATAACTACCACTAAACACGAAACATAAACACAAGTCAAGCCACTATGTTGCTCATACCAGCCACAACCATGCCACATTACTCGTACCAGTCCACATACATAATGTACTTACGTATTTCAGCTGAAAACAACATGGCAGCTTGGAAACGTTCGCCTCGTATAAGGAGAAGTTTCCTCACCTTTTAAGTATCACGCATCATGGACTATGGGTGGCTTACAGCTTATAAATGGACTTATAGCATCTGCCAGTGGTGCCCTTGTATGCTGATGTCTATTGTTAGCATGTAAAGAGGGCATGTCTTGTTGTCCTGTAATCTACTACATTAAATTACATTGCAAGTACACAGAATTTCACAGAATTATACGATCTGTCTTTACATTTCCTTTTAGATCTTTGTTTTGTTTGTGTTTGCCTGCCTCTTTGCTGCTGGTGTGTATGGAAGCATGAGAGTTGAAAAGGGCCTTGATCTTACTGATGTTGTGCCACGAGAAAGCCCAGAACACAGATTCGTTGAAGCCCAATTCAAGTTTTTCTCATTTTACCACATGGCTGCTGTAACCAAAGAAGATTTTGATTATGCTAATGGCCAGGAACTCTTGTATCAATTTCATGCTGCTTTTAGAAAGGTAAGTTACCAAAAGGTAAAATAATATACAGTATGAATATTGCAAAATCGTGCATTGCATGCACAACTTATAGATAAGTCAGTTTTCTTGCAAGTCAGTTTTCTTTGTGCGAGCTGTACATGTGAAATTGAGATTAGGATTGCCGGCTCCTGTGGTTGCCATCAATGAATCATTTGCACAGTGACGTCATTTTACTAGACTAAGACCAGAATCCTTCATTGTTTTGCTTTCTTGTGCAAATTAGGGCTTTTGTTATTTAAACCACACTCGGATTAAAAAATATAAATAGAGAAAAACGGAAGGGATTCTGGTCATAGTAGTAAAATGTTGCCATCATGTAAATGGCGTATTAAATTATAGTGACCTAAATACTTGTAATTGCAATTAAGAGTGACCTTTAAAATTCCCCTTGCAGATTCCAAACATAATCAAGACACCAGCAGGCGACTTACCACACTTCTGGTTGATCTACTTTAGGGAATGGCTTGAAGGTATGTCTTTAGATAGTATTTTTAATCACTCTTTTGAGGTCACAAGGTGATGTCAGATTGAACTGAAGTGCCCAGATCTCATAACCAGAATTATTACGTAAACACCAATGAAATACCAGGTGAGCTTTGGCACGAAAACTTGATATCTTCACAAGTGAAAATATCTCCGTTGTTATGGCTACACAATAAATTGCGCCTTTCACACCAAGAAACTATCAAAGTGAAATGGTTTGGTATTTCATTGGTGTTTATATAATAAATAGAACATTACATGGCCGCTTAGAGATATGAAATTCCTCCTCTCGTGTTGAAAAAATATTTCACTTGTTCGTGAAATATTTTTCAACACTCAAAGAGAAATTTTGTATCTTTGCATGGCCATGTAATATCCTCTATTTATGTAGAACTCTGCGCTCTAGCATGGGTTGAAATATCTCTTCCCCTGTGCACAATTTATATGACAGAGCTGTTCTTGACTGTTGGGTCACTGGTTATGGGTGGCTCAGGGGTAAATGGTTTAAAAGTAGTAAATTTAGTCATACTTTTGAATAGCAAGACAATGGAAGTTCTGACTCAGCATCTCCTTGCTTTTCTCAGGCCTTCAAAAGGCATTTGACAGAGACTGGAATGAAGGGAGAATAAATTATTCTGGCTGGCAGGCAAATGCTTCGGATGACGGTGTAATGGCATTCAAATTGTTGGCCCAGACCGGTGAAAAAGAGTCAGTCAACCACTCAATTGTGAGTACTTTCACTCCGTTATTAATTTCATTTTGTAAAATGCTGAAAAACAAATAGTACCACTTGAAAGGACTAGCAAAGAGGTTTCATTTGAATGGTTCAGACCAAACAATTTTTTCCACATACTCCAAAGTTAGAATTACATACAAAACAAATAGTAACATGTGAAAGTACCGCTAAAGAGCTTTCATTTGAATGGTCACTTCACAGGATTTTGTCCACAGACTCAAAAGTTAAAATGTGCTATGAGACTATATCATTTAGCACTGGCAGTAGATGGGTTAATTCACAGCATCAACGCAGGAGGGAATAAAAATAAGGAAAATTTTAGATTTAACCAATAGAAAATAAACGTTTTCCTAGTTTGCATGCACCTGATATAAACACTAGAAGGTGTTTGGAGAATTTGGGACAGTTTAATATTCATACCCATGATGAAGTTGAGATGAAGTTAGGGGCTTTTATTATATAGACATGAGTGTTTTGCTCGTGTCAAAAACAATATTTAATTACTCACTCGCTGCGCTCATTCGTAAAATATTGTTTTGCCACTGGAAAATAAAATTCATATCTTCGCCCCACTGTGTAATATCCTCTATGTATACACTTCTTAGCGACTCAGAGCACGCTTACTATTTAAGTTATTTTTAATGTCAAAATGGACTTGTTGTGAAGTTAATTGATCTTAACCTTGCTCAACAGGTCCGTAGTGTGAGGTTAGTCAGTGAAGATGGAATAATTCGCCCAGAAACTTTTTACAAGTACCTGATGGTGTGGTGCAGTATGGACTACCTAGGGTATACCTTCTCACAGGTAACTAGTGTTTACATTTATCATGATATTGGCTTTCATAGCCCCTGCAAAAATTTTTCGTTTCATATCAGAGCCTTGATGTTTTGGGTGAACATAACTTTGTTGGTTTCCATATCACCTCAATTTCTCTTTGACATAACGATGATCGTTGCGGGTGATCTTCTTTGTAAACAGGCTTTAATTTTATAAATTAATTTTATGTATTTTTTTATTTTAACATTCATCTTTTTAAATGCTATTACCGTTAATTCTGTAGTTTGTAAACATGTTGAGGATATTGTATATATTGTTTATTTAGCCTGATTGTTTTTACCGTGTGTAAATAAAAGTGATGGTGATGATGATGATTAATTAACCAATATTGTTACATGGAGAAATTTGACACAGGTCACTTTTTTGTACATTGAGTTTCATTATTTTTCAGTCATGTTTCCAAGATAGTTTTAGGAAAGCACATAAAAGCACATAGATTTAAGTGAACTGATATTCTCAACTCTTGTCGTAGGCAAATATCAGGCCTGTACCAACAACTGGAGGACACTGGAGCAACATAAGAAGTGTCCAAACATACAGAGCTATGCGAGGTAAATTACATAGCTTTCTCGAAAAGGCTTTTCTCCAAAATGAAGGAAAAATCAGCAAAAGTTAATACCAACTAGCCAGTGTTCCAAATACATGTACTAGCTCTATTCTTGTTCATATTGTTTCAGAAAACTCTCATTGGTCCTTTTTTTGCAAGAAACGTATCAGTGATGCATAAGATCATAGCTCTGATTACTGTGTTTAAACTGTGATGCAAATTGTGTAAACAACAAGAATATTTGAGGAGCAAAGATGAATAGTCCATTTTCGAGTTTGCTATGACCGCTGAATTAAAGAAGTGAAGACGCATTTTTTACAGCCTTAGCCTCCATCTGAAGTAATATATTCACAAATTCCAACGAGAAAAAGACCTGTTTATTACTCTGTCTATTGTGTATATTGAAATTTCAAACACTTACTTGCCGGAATTTCTGAATATTTTACTTTACATCGAGGCTAACCCTGTATGAATGTTTGTATTCAGCGGTAATTTTTTTAACGAAACCGGACTATTAAGACTTTTAAAATTTTCTTGTACTCATGTGGTGGAAAAGACACAAGTTAAGATAGTTTTAAAGTCTCCTGTTGAAAATTATTTAACCCTTTAAGTCGCAATAGCGATCAACATCAATTTTCTCCTAAGGATATCCATTGATTGTCAAGAGAAATGGTTATGAGACTTAATAAAATGATCACCAAAGAGAAAATGCTTCCATCTTTTATCAAATTCTCTCAACTAATTCTTAAAGGAAATGTATAGAGATCAGTTTGGAGAATTTGTATGTGGATATTGGGGCTCAAAGGGTGAACAGTTCTGGAAGCTCCACATGTTTGCTCTGTGATAAGGTTCTAAATGATTTCATTTCGTTGTGATTTTCTTGACAGTTGAGCCGCCAGCACCACCAATCAACTTTTCATTTATTCCATTCAATCTCATCAACATCAGGAACACAAACGATTTCATTGACATTATAAAGGTAAGATTAATACTACATACACTGCTGAGGGTTCACTTAAGGGGAGCGAGTTCTTTGCTGTGCTGTTATCATCCATCAGTTCCCCAGGGTGTGCTTATGCAGTGCCCGGTGGTCCTCTCCCAGTTTACTTTTGGTCTTGGGCGACTTGGAGACCTTAGCTTTTCCTTAAAACTCACATGCTGGGCACCCTGGATTTCACAGGTTTCAACCACTGGTTTCCTTCAATTTGTCTTAGAACAAAGTCATAAGAGCACTTATGGCTTGAAGTGAAAATCAATATTTTTTGAGTCATAAGCAGAGTTATAAGCATGGCGGAACCAGCGACGGAAGAATCAGAATGTTTCTCTTTTCTTCTGGCTCCGCTTAACTCTGTCGCTTATGATCTAGTGAAGCATATCAGTCTATCCACGCCATTCATGGTAACGTAGAACTGGAAGCAGTTTCATGTAGTCTTAAATAATAAGACTAGACCATTATGTTTCATTGTAGTCTGAAATGTCATACGCCTCCACCCCTAACCCGGAGGATGCAGGAGAGCCCCCCCAATGGGATAGGGGGTGGAAATGTGTGACATTTCAGACAAGTTTCAAAGCCTAAACATAGTTTTAAATAGTAGAGTTAAATATTACCTTTGGAAGTCAGTTGATGCAAATACACGTTTTTGCGCTTAAATAAGGTAGCAATTAACATGAAATGGCCCCTTAAATCAATAAAACTCCTTTTCCTTTTTGCAGAGTGTCCGTGCAATTTCAGATGAGTTCTCTGACAAGGGCTTGCCTAATTATCCTAGTGGAGTCCCATTTACTTTCTGGGAACAGTATATTTGGCTGGGACACCGACTTATGGTTGCTGTTTCCATTGTTCTTGCGACAAGCTTTGTTGTGATGGCCGTTATTCTGTGCAATTTCTGGGCAGCAATGTTCATTGTAAGTTTATGGTCATTTCTGATGCGATAATGTAGATAACACAGGTATTTGAAAAGATCAAGACATTTACAGACTGAGAGTAGTGGTCTTGCAGGGGTTAACTCTTAGGTCGTATGAGTGACAGACATTAATTTTCTCCTAACAACATCAGCAGATCATCAAGAGTAAAGGTTGTGAGAAGTACTAGATTGATTACCAAAGGGAGAAAACTTTGATCTTAAACCAAATTCTCTCAACTATTCATAAAAGAAATGCATAGAGATCAGTCTGGAGAATTTGTATGTTGATCATGGGGCTTAAAGGGTTAAGGTTTGAAATTACACCAAGGGTTGAGGGAAGCGGGTTCAGTCATAGGCTGTATGGGTACATGTTGTACATCTACACTTCCCAGTTGGCAAGTTTGAGAGAGGCTAGAGACGAAATCGTGTTGTCATGTCATGTACAGTAATCAAACAAAATGTAAATGCCATTTTTTTTATAGTACAAATGCTCTTAGCCACTCTAGCTACATGTACATATACCGTATTTATTCGACTAAGCGCCCACCTCGAATAAGCACCCATCCTAAAGGCAGAAAAAGTTAATAAGCTCCCAGCCTCAAGTAAGCGCCCACTCCCACCCCACTCTTTCCAACACAAACTCAAATAATAGATAATAAGAGACCCTCCCGATGCTTTGTTACATCTTCCCTTTTTGTCATTACCATAAATTGTTTTGTTGCAAAATAAACATACTACACTTGCTGAGAATGATGAAAATTTAATAAGTGCCCAGCCTCGAATAAGTGCCTCTCTCAAAGCCCAATAATTTAATAGGCACCCAGGGCGATTAATCGAATAAATACGGTAGTTTACAGATACTTTATTCATATAATTGCAAAGAAATTATGGAAACAAGCATTGCATGATTGACCTCAACTAACAGGAGGCAATCCAGCATTTACAATTGTGGGTGTGAGGTTAAAACTCTAGTGTACCAAGGAACATATTCAGCCAGTGGGTAAAGTGAGACTTGAACCATTGGCTTGCAGGCAGACACTCTGATCACATACCCGCTGTGCCTTCTGGCATCCCCATAAGTTTTTTGACCTGTTTTGTTTTGTTTATAGGTCATAGTTTTAGCCATGATTACAGTAGAGGTGTATGGCTTCATGGGTTTGGCTGGCATCAAGCTCAGTGCCGTACCAGCAGTTACACTCATTCTTTCGGTTGGTGTTGGGGTGGAGTTCACTGTTCACATGTGCATGGTATGTGCCATGTTAGTTATGGTACACCAAATAGGTTACCTATTATATGTGTTTCGGTTTAATGCTATCTTTGATTTTAATATTATTTTCCTCTGTCTTTAAGTTTGGTAAATTATGATAATGAGTTTGAAATGAAGGAAATAAAATTTAAACCAAGATTAAAATTGAACCATAAAGAAATCAGAATGTACATTTGGTTTTTTAGTATCCAAGTGAAAGTTTGAAAGCAAAATCAGATTCGAGCAGTGTCGTGATAACTTGTTTTTGAACAATAAGAGGCGAGTTGTTCAAACCTCAGATGACTCTAATTCGTGGGTTAATAAATTTGAAGAAGGGCATATGAATGTATTGTCATGGTAATGAACCCAGGATTTGCGGTTATCACCCATAGAACCACTCGGCCTAGAGCAGGCCTCGTAATTTAAAACAAAATGGCGTTTTTAAATTATAAATTGCCGCTTTCGTTGCTAGGTTTCGTTACAGACTAAATACACGGATTTTCATAGTGGCAGAAAATTTCAGATTACTCGGCCACTTCTGGGAACGCTTAAAACTGAATGATCGAGACATAACTCAATAAAGCACTGTTGTCACGCAACGCGTTGCAAATAAGTGGCCAGGAGTTCTAAAATTTATCCCAGTCATATTTTCTCGCTTTTTTGTCACGAAAGCTTACCTGTATCTGCTTTGCTTTGCTTTGCTTGCAGCAATTTTTAACCAGCAGAGGAGATAGAAATCAGCGTATGCAACGAGCAGTCGAACACGTGTTTTCGCCAGTCGTAGATGGCGCTGTCTCAACGCTACTTGGTGTCATTATGCTTGCGGGATCAGACTTTGATTTTATCGTCAGGTAAAGTTGTCAACAACGGAAAGTTAGATGTTATAAACGCCGAAACATAGGAACTCTTTCATCTCTACGATTACTTTTTAAGTATGGCGCAAACCTTGTAGCCACGCTTTCTATCGCACAATCCTTCACTCTGTCTCTGCCTATCTTCGTAAAAAGACTTCCGAGTCTTACTCGTTTTAAATTTTCATAGAAACTCGAGCCTTGTCAAAAATACCACTTCATTTCTTCCGATAGGTACTTTTTTCATCTCTTGGCTGCATTGATTGTTATTGGAACAATAAATGGCTTGGTGTTTCTGCCTGTTTTGTTGTCCCTCGCTGGCCCAGGTCCTGAGGTAAGTTTTCTTTTCTTTTTTTTCAGCAAGTTTCACGTGTGGGGCACGTGCTTGTGGGCGAATTTTTCTTTCCGGCGTGTGCCGCATGCTGTATGTCAGCTTGTGCTATTTCGATCGATAAAGAAGCAAAGCAGAATTTTCAGCAAGTGACATACCCCTGTAATGTAGTTTTTTTTGACTACAACAAAGTATTCCTTATGCTGGCTCTTCAGCTAACAACCGTTAAGTAGTACCTTCAATTGAAACTGTTAGCAATGCTTGTTCAGAATAATAATTGTCGAGAAATGGCACAAGTTAAGGACAGACTAATCCAAAAGCTTTCCTTTTGAATTCAAAATCCAGAGGTTTGGAATCATGGCATCCAGATTTTACGACCGTTCTTGAATTTGGCTGGATTTGAGGGTATTTTTTGTGGCAGAAGTGTTTTTCGTTTTGTTCCTGGATAGGATTAACCTGTGTTGGTCTGTAGTTAAACCTAAGTGACTACCGTAAAATTCCGAAAATATAAGCCCCCCTGGGGCTTGTACTTGGAAAATTGCCCTCAAATACAAAGGGAAAGAAAGCAAAAACTTTAAATTTACGTCCAACTATAAGGCTAACCCTATCGATTTTGATACGCAAATTTCCCTCCGTACATAAGCCCCTCCGAATATAAGCCCCTCAAAAAGGGCCTTTGAAAAATATAAGCCCATATAAGCCCCGGGGCTTATTTTCGGAATTTTACGGTGTTATATTAAAAGCTCCCCTGAAAATGATTTTTTAACTGTATGGCGTTTCATGTGTGTGTGTGTGTGTGTTTTTGGCACTCGCCATAAAGCTGGATGAAAAGATGTAACTGTTTCCTTCTTTTCCCTTTTTTTAACCGAAGGTTGAAGAATTAGCGCCACCAAGAACGGCTTCCTCGGCGGGATCTAATAGAGAATTTCTACCAGGTTCAAGCTGCAGGCAAAGAACACCTCCAACGGACTCGGAAATTTGCATTGTGGAAAGCATCGCAAGGCAGGAAGAGAAATCTTCTGGATCCGGGGGGAGACGTCCGCGTCGTAAAAAGGGTCACCATGGAAGTAACAGTCGAGGAAATAAGCGATCTAATCCAAACAGGTGTACTCCCCCTGTGGATTCTGACTCGTCTAGTTCGACAGTCACTCGGGTGACCACTCGGGCCACGGTTACAGTCGAAGTTCATACCGAACATACATCGGAGAGATCCTCGCATCCGAACTTTCGCGCGGGGGCCCAAGCTGGTCGGCCATTTCACAGCGAGGAAGAAATTGATGAAGAGGAGATGCACATCACCAGTTTAGAAGATTATGGCGACGACTTGAAGAGGTAGTTGAACGGTAAAAATTAAGGTCGTTTACTGTCAGTCGCCAAAGCTTCATGGACTATGGCTTTTTGAGTAAACTTCGCACAGGCATTCCCTTCGTGGATGAATACGCGTGGAACACATTACGTGCGTGGGGGATAGTACACGCGCGACTCGAGTCGAGAGTGTAATACTTCTCGTGTATAGTGGAACCTCTCAAGATAAGTGTACCCAATCGGAGAAACGTTTAGCTAGAGTCGATTACATACAATTCAATTTTCTCCGTTTCAGTTTAGTGCAGAACAGCAAGGAACAGTAAAACTGGATTTTACTAGAACATTGCAAAGTGTATATTACCGGAAAAAGGGTTTAGATCACAGGAACACTCAATAAGAACCCAGTTACAATTTAGATTTAAAACGACGAATATTCACATTATTTATATTGGTGTACAAAGTTCAAAGGTGTAATTATCTGTATCTACAAGCTGGCTTGGTCCACGTCAGTATCCCAGGTAATCAAGAATAATCTATCATATCGTTTATGGGTTTCGTTTATATTTATAGAGAGAAAGTAGCGAGGTGGACAGCGATAATACATACTTCCTCAACATAAATGGCGACCTGTATTTTTGTTAAAAACAAAACCAACGACTGGAAAAAAAAAAAGATTAGAGCGCAAGTGCTTTTTTCGATTTTAATATGGAGATTTTGCAAAGTTCTCTCCAAATTGCACAAGCTGTAGGCGGGGTCAGCCACTTCCTCGTTTGTCTTCAAATTACAGATCCCCCCTCCCCTACCCCAAGCGTTGGACGATTTCTTGAATGAATGATTTATTGTGGTTACGGTTTCACCCCCATTAGCTTTACCAAAACACACAATAAGCAAACAAAATCATTCGAATGGTCACACTTGAGGATGTATTTAACAAATTCAGAAGTATTCTACGCAACCGTTTCCGTGTCGCGTTGCTTGACGAGACGAAGACGGCTACGCTGTCGGGGGGACTCATTCAAACGTTACAACTACGTAATCACCAAGAAAAAAGTAACACTGCATTCTTTACACCAGAGGTAACGAAGTCTACAATTGTTTTCCCAAGGGACATAAAACAAAGACAGCTAACGCTGATCAAGAAATGAAAAGTACTATTACGGATGGCAATTTTAATCACAAATTTCATGCACTGATTTGACGAATTCAACTTTGATGAACTCTTATCCACTTCCATCCTTACAATTATGTATCTCATCCCAAACGTTTGTTCCTTTTTACTGTACAGAATATTTTTAGAAGGTTTAGATGCATATCGTAGTGTAAAATGACAGTAAAAGTAGGTATTTCTATCACTTTGGGTCGTCATTTTGTTGAAGGAAGTGTAATTTGTCGCCTTTCTGCATTCGCTGCCTTTCAATAGGAATTTAGCACCCTGTCCGTTGTCGTTGTCCAGTTGTTTAGCAGTGGTTGTTCACGTTTGTGGAGCCACTGAAAGGTCCACAAGCGAGTTAAGGGAGTTTTAGTCAACTTATTGTCAACTGGTTATTTTCTTAAGTCGTAATTTAAGGTACGCTGCTTCATTTTATAATTGCACTGAGGGCGGTTTTAGCTTGAGTGTCGATGACAGTCATGCTGCAACGCGCGTTATCATCGTTGTTGCTTCGAGGTCTCGTGACAAGTAACCATAAGAATTTTTCCCGCCCAAAATCTCTGAGTTGGCAACATTGCAATTCTGTGGCGTCAGCGGACAGAGGCGAATGTTGACCACTTTTGTGGGAGCAACTCATCTCCTCTTCGTAATAGTTCATACCTTTCTTGATTCGGATCAAATGGTTCAATGCGGTTGACTCCTGTGATTGTTGATTTTACATCGGTTTTTGTTCAGCGACGCTCAGTTGAAACCGCCCCATTTTTTCTTGAACATTTTGTGATTCTAGGCATTGCAGATATGCTATTTTTATGCGGGTTATGTTGTATATCAGACACGAGTAGAAGCGTGTTTTATCCAATGTCTAAACACCGTAAAGTGAGTTGGAAAAAAAAAAACGAGTCGTGGCAGTTTCCTAAACCGACCTGTTGGATTACTGTCTTTTTATTGAGGAAGCGTAGGAAATGATTAATAGTTCATTAAAAAATTCAAATAAATACCTCACTAGATTAAAGGTAATTGGAATCCGATTCTAAACCTCTTTTTTTTCTTTACATGAGTTTAGCCTTTTAAAAATAATTTTAAACGCCAATAGCTTTCCTTTAGAATTTCGGAAAGTGAAAAGCACAATTTTCTTTCTATTAGAACTTTTGTTTCAAAAAGGAGACTTCTTCATATAGTTGGGTGGCCAACTTTCGTACCGTATACAGTCGAACTTCCATTGAACAGCCATTCACTGTATTTAGCGGCCAGTTATCAAACTCCCAACGGACAAAAATTGTCAGTAAATCACGGTAAATAGAATGTTTTGAAAGGCCAATTGTCCCTTTCGTTTTTCAGTCTGGAATGTCATACGTCTCCACCCCCTAACACGGAGGGGGGGCGCCCCCCACGGGTTAGGGGGAGACGTATGACACTTCAGACGACTTCTGCGTGGGTAGAAGTTTATGGAGGTGCGACTGAGGTATAAAAAGGCTGTGGTCCATAACTTATTTATTTAATAACCCATATCAAACCGCAGACAATAAGTTGATTGATAATACTCCCGATTAACCAGGTACAAAAATATCACCCGTTCGTCGTTTAGTCGTATGGTCTGCAAAGTTGTTGAATAACAAGCAGACCAACGAACAGATATTAAATTATTATCACTGATAAACAAAATATCGGATATTTAATGAATAAAGTTATGTCAATAACTTAAGCCAGTTGTTGAGGCTTGATTTCATTCCTCGTTTGCTTTGATTTGTAATTTTCCTATTCCTATCACCAGGCATCTTAGGAGACTTGGGGCAAGCTTATCGGGATGGGGGTATAACTCTCCATTTTCCATAAAAGCCAGTGGCTTTCTTAGGCATGCTTCAAACGTCGTGCTACTGCCGTGCTAAGCGCGCTTGATTGTAGCTCGACTGCAGCACGACACGAGCACGGCGTCGTTTCAGACGTCGAGCTACTGCGGGTGTCAGTAAAACGCGGGGTCGGGTTCTATCCTTTTTTTTTTTTTAACCTTTTCACTGCCAGAGTTTGTGAAGTGGTTCTAACTTTTACGTTTGTGGACAAAATCCTACGCTGCGACCATTCAAATGAAATCTCTTTGGAAGTACTTTCATGTGGTGTTATTTGTTTTAAAAAATTTTACAAAATGAAATGTGGGATTTTTGTCCAATTTGCCTTTGGTCTTTTTTGGCAGTGAAAGGGTTAAGAATGCTGTTTTAGGGTTAGAGTAGGGTTATTTAGGATTAGGGCTAGGGTTAGTGCCAACCCTAACCCTAACCCTAAAACAGCAGTCTGTAAAAAAAGAGAGAGAACCCGGCCCGGACCCGCGTTTTACTAACACCCAGCTACTGGCGGTGCTAAAGTCGAATTTATTTCGATCAATTGACTTCAGCACGGCAGTAGCGACGGTTGAGACGGGCCTTAGTCTCTGGACCTGTTCAAGGAAAGAAAAAAGAGAAATTTGCGTCTTTCGAAAAAAATTTTCTCTCTTATCTGCACTTGACTATGGATGATACAGGTTCCTGGGGTCAACCCTTTAAACCCTAAGATCAAGATTTGAATTCTCATTTGTTGCCCCCATTTCCTATAGAAGTAATGGGGAAAAGTTGATGAAATATCAAGCAAATATATCTTGTGTGATCACGTCTGTAATTCTCATGACCACTCTGTTTTACAAAGCATTGATTTTACAAGGAGAAATTTGATGCTGATCACTCTTAGGGCTTTTAAGCTTTTAAAAAGGGTTCATAATAGACGGTGGTCCGTGGTCCTAGAGAGCACGCCCTTATCCCGCGAGGAAGTCATTGCCAATCAAGCGGAGAAACGCGCGGGACGCAGATGGTAAAAAGGAGCAAAGAAATTAGGGATGGGAGGAGGGGAGGGGAAGGAAACGCTTTTCCTCGTCCGCTTGCGGAAACGTTAGCTTGCTTCGCAGGCGCTGTATAAAATGTTTTTATCATTTATCAAAAAGCAAGGTGCTAAACTAACTGCTAACTTTCGGAAAAAAAGTGCAAATTCATTACCCTTTGTAAATCTATATTCGTCGAACAAAAGATGCGTTAACCGCGCTCTTTGTTTGTTTGTTAGTGACTATCGTAAACAGACCGAACAGCTACGTGCTTCATTTACATGAAAATAACATTTCCGGTCAGCCTCGGATCTATGTAGTGTTTCAAGCGGGCTTGGGTCCTTCAACGTGAGAATGTTTACGTGCACGAAAGTTCATATGTAAGGGTTAAGTTTGTATATCTTGTTATAGGAGTTAACACAGTTATTTCTCAATGAGCCATCTCATCGCTGGCTTTAAACGTATGGAATGGGTAGACAGATCGCGCTGAAGCTTCGTACGAAACTACAAGCGTTATTTTTTAAACTGGGATGTTTCTCACAGCGCCACTGTTGGGCAGTTCTGGCCGTCGGCTTTTTTATTCTTATAGGATTTTCTGTTGGTCTCATAAAAGCAAAAATCGAGACAGATGTGGAGAAATTGTGGGTAGAAGGTGAGTGATTTGACGAACTATATCTATGTTGCCGCCTTACAGCAGTTTCAGGCACGGTCGGGCGTCGGAGTAGGTTGTTGTTCGCCGGGAGTCGAAAGATGAGATTTATAAAACTTTGGTTTGAATAGGTGTAGCTTTGGTTGCAAACCTTTGAGGAAGAAAAAAAAACCCTTTTCCTTTACATTAAGAGATCTAGTGGCTTGATCGCTTCAATAAATGAGTACGCGATGATATTGTTCGATCTGACAGTACATGTACAGATGCACATGTGCATAACTTACCCTCAAGCTCAACCTGCCACTAGCAAAATTTGGTTTGCCGGTTTTCAAGTTTAAGTGATTTAACTGTTGAGTTAAGAAGTCTGAGTGATGGAGGAAACGTTCTTGTTTAATATCTACTGAAAAGGCGAAAGAGTCGCTTTAGATTCAATCTGTAGCAGATCAAATACATTTCCATTTCTCCAAACCGGCGAAGGTCACGATACTACTACACAGGCTGACTACTACACTACTACTGAGGTTCAAACAGACGGATCGGTCAATCTTTAATAGGGAAAACTGAACTTTTTTAAATATTTAAACATTTATTTATTCACACTTTTCTCATTTATTCACCAAACTATTTTCACGGCAAGATGAAAAGAAACGATCCATTTCAAAAGTATTGATGTAAATATCAGCCAGTGGATGTTTTGTGCGCACCGGAAGTGATAATCATGCATACAAATGAGACATTCGGTGTGGCGTGATCTGACATCAGACTATATGTAGCATACGGCAGCTGGTATAAAACTCCGATCGAGAAAATATTGTCTTTCATTTCAGAAATTCCTTTTTGTTTCTATTTACGCGGAAAGTGGCGCCTACAGCAGAAGAGGAATGGATAAGCAAATCCTGTGACGTAATTGTTCCGAATCATGGAATACAATCACGTCACTTACGCTTCATTTTTAGTTCATAGAGCACGCGATTGATTCGTCTTGCAAAAAAGATTGATTACGTAACATGGGTAGAAAAATTGGCTCTAATGCGAGAGTATTTTTAGAAACATCAAAATTGTCGGTGTAAAGAAAGAGGAAGGAGCATTTAATTACATTTGAGTTTGTAAACATGTTGTTAACTCACGATTAGAGACCCAATATTATAGATCATTATATAGGTCGTAAGAAGTAAGTGTTTTCCAGTCCAAAGTAATTTGGTTTCTATCTCAATCTGCCTTTACAAAGTTATTGTTCTTAAAACTTGCAAAACACTCAAGTAATATAAGGGAGCGAAACGTTTGCAGCCTGCACGCAGAATAGCCCAAGCGTCGGCGATGATGCAGAAGGCGCCAGGGGTTGGGGGGGTGGGGCGTTGGGGGCTTGTTGGCTGTGAGGCCGGATTATAGCCATGCACAGTTTCGGTACATTTTTGCTAATTTCAAAAGCTAATAAATATTAGATAAAGGGAGCACGTCACGCGAAATTTTTAAGTGATGGGGCACAAACTAGTAATGCACAATTTTGACACTCCTGACTACAAAAAGGTTTGCAAGCCCGTTTCTGACGTTTCTCCAGAGGCCCGGTAACTTTTCAGGCCCGAAGGTAAAATTTAAATTTAGCACAGTTCCTAGCAGAGAAACCAGTCAACTGATAGTTTCACTGTATCGTTTCCAAAATTATTGAAGCTTTGATCTTGAATGCAAAAACGTCAAACATAAAACAGCTTTCCGTACCCGAAAAGTAATCGCGACTTTCTAGAAACGGGCCTTTCGAGAGGCGTAACGCGTTTCTCAGTTTCTTATCGGCTTCTCTGCTCACGGCAGACTAAACTGTTCTCACAGAAAGGCCGCGGACCACTCCCAGTTTTGCTTGCATCATAGTCCCAATTCTCCAAACAACGAGACAACAACAACAGAACCATTCCCAGCGTTTCAGGGTAATAAAACCACGGACGAAAACAAAATCACACGAAAAAGTAGAACTAGAACCTAGCTACGTAATTGGTTTTGGAGTGTTAAGAGCGTTACTCGTGCCTGTTTTGTTTTCTTTTGTTTTCTTTCGTTTAGTTGACGGACGACTAGAAAAGGAATTGCAGTACACGAAAGATGCAGTCGGTGAAGGAAGTGGTACCACCAACGAACTCTTAATTCATAAATCTAATTCTGGACTTGGGAACATCTTGTCTGTAGGATTATTACAGCAACACTTGGAAAAAGTACAGAAAGCTATTGACGTCAAGGTTACAATGTATAACAAGTAAGATAACCAGCCGAACATGACGTGTTTTGATAACCTTATTTGTACCTAGAGAATGCCATAATTAATTATAATTACGTCATTTATTCCTGTGAAAATAATAGCGATGAGATGTACTATAAATATCTGATTTGGTTAAAACGTGGCCACTGGGTTTTCGCCTGGCACCGGGCGCAGCCCGGCACCAGGCCAGCCCCGTGCCCAAAAATGTAGAGGGCTTGACGTCTTGGTCGGTACAGCTGGATAGCCCAGGGACTGCCCTAACAGTGGGTGGGTGAATCAGGCCTTGGATTCAAAACTAGTGGGGTAGGGAGGGTGGCTGTTTTGACACAACCCCTTCAGTAAGCAGCAGTGTTCAGTGCAGGCTTTGACTTGGGAGTACCTTGGTCTTAATTTGCCCTCGCCAGCTGAATCAGGCCTCTGCTGAGATTGATTATCATGATAATTGGAGAGCTCAGTGGGAGGTGCAGACAGTCGCCCATTGTCCTGGGTGGGGAGGGTCAAAGTTTTGGTACCAAGGACGCACTTAGCCTAGGACCTTTAGACACTCACTGAAGCCATGTTTTCATAAATCCAGTCACATATATATGTAAATTATATTTATTACTATTCATTCAGAATATTTCTTAGTTTTTAATTGGCGTATTCTTCATAACCAGATAACGCTGACCAAATTTGGGACATATTTTCTTTAAAAACTACTGTTGAGGGACGATTGGTCATGTTATCGACTATAAAGGGACGCACAGACGTCAGGCAAAGGAGCGGTGCGGTGGCTCCTCTGTTCTCGCATTGCAGAGCTGGAGAAACTGGAAGTTTTCACACGTTTCGCGAATACGAAGTAGCTGAATTACCGCCTGCAAAACATAGTTAGCAAGATCGACAAAAATATAACTCGACGAATGATAACTGCCTCAGGAGGGCAAGCTCTACAGGACTAAAAAGGAGCTTTCCCTCTTTCTTCCCCCACCCCTGTACCCCCGGGAGCCCTGGGAGAGCTTGCAGAAAGGTAATTGGCTCTTGAAATCCCTATATATTCTGTAACTGTCGAGAAAACAGGCAAATTTTTCAGCGCATATTTAACATCCATCGTCATCTGCTTAATTAGCAATTAATGGATGAGGCTGAGTAAAATCTGAAGAATTAGGCAAATTGAGGAGAGTGTTGTCGGCCGAGGCGGATGACATCCCTGGAAGGCTGAATCCACTAATTGTCTTATTATTCGCGCAGGATATAAATTACTATTCATACATTGAAACATGCCTACCTCGATCGATGTTCAGTTGAACCGGTCTTCATTTATCTGTTGCAAATTCAGGATTTGAAGGGATGTTAAATACACCAGTTATTGTCCAAAGAGCAGTTGTCATCTGTTGAGTTGTAGTTTTGCTGTTCTTACTGTATTTTAATGCGGAATGAAAGGTCGGCTATTTCTTCTACGTAAAACGTGTGAAATTACTCGCTATTTTCTCCAGCTTTACCTAAACAACTGAGCTGACGCAACCTCGTCCCCAGAGCTTCTCGGATGCCGTCCCTTTCTTCTGGCGATGCGCGGTACTATTGACGTCATTTTACCGGATATTCCCAAATGTCTACAAAATCCGGTCAATACTAGTTGGTTATGAAGAATTAGCCGGAGGATTTGAGCCGATCAGAAACGGAGAATTATTTTGAATGAAATAGAGGATATTACATGGCCGCGCGGCGATACGAAATTTCTCTTCGAGTGTTGAAAAATATTTTTTCAACACGAGAAGAGAAATTTCGTATCTAGCGGCCATGTAATGTTCTATTTATTATATAAACACCAATGAACTGTGAAAGGCGCGATCTCTTGTGTAGCCATAGCAACGGCGATATTTTCACACGTGAAGATAACATGTTATTTTCACATGTGAAGATATCAAGTTTTCGCGCGAAAGCTCACCTGGTATTTCATTGGTATTTATATACTAATAACAATTCTTTCTGTGGTACTCAACTTCAATCAATAATTATTAATCACCACTCTTTCTATTCCAGAACCTGGACTCATACAGACTTGTGTTACGTCCCGGAAGTTCCGTCTTTCAATAATTCGTTAGTAGATGGGGTAAGTGGAATTAAGGAAATGTAACGACCACTTGACAAAGAGAGGTTCTGTCCCGAGGATCAACCCCTTACCCTTTTATATACCATTCCTTCTATTGACAAATGGTACCCCTTTCACATGGCTAGTTTAACTTCTTGGTAGTGACATGTCTAGCCTCCCACGCAGGCGTTTTTAGGGGAGCTCGTCTTTCGTCTCTCCCCATAAAACGAGCTCCCCTAAAAACGCCCGCGTGGTAGGCTATGACATGTCATGAGTACGGAATTTCTGTGCTCGTTGCTCAAAGGCCAATTCGAGGGAAACCGGTGGAAGCGTCGCGAAATGTCGGCTGTGTGATGTGATCGTGCGTATGCGTAAGGTACTGGCCATACCGCAGAGTTGATACGTGTGCTTCAGTGCATCATTTGGTCTTGTTTTCTCAGGCTAAGCGGAGTATGACTGTAACGATTTTCTTTCAATAATCTCCAAGGCTAATTAGTTTATAAAACGCTGCCGCTTCGTTTGTTTGGAAATTCCGCGTTAATACATAAGTTTGTGCGCCTGTGCAAACCCAAGCGAATTCGTGACGACGTACGCCATTAAGCCTCTGCTTCAAAGCGAGGCTAAGAGCAAACCATTGATTATCATTTAAACGTTTTGCACTTGGCCTCGGTTTAAAAGTAAGGGTTTTTGGATTCGGAAACGGCCTCAGTATATGATAAAGTTACAGTAGAACCCCGGTGACTCGAAATCTGAAGGGAAATTAACGAAAAACAGTTCGAGTTGGCGGGGAATTCGAGTTATCGAGGTTCTACTGTCTACGTAACAGGTGGGCGACAGACGTTTATCAACTCCCCTGATAAATTAATCAAACTTCTCTTTTTTTTCTGTAGGTTGTTTCATCCATCGTACCATGTTTAATAATTTCTCCACTCGATTGTTTCTGGGATGGAGCCAAACTACTGAAGCTTAGAGGGTCTTTACCGGATGAAATTAAGTACGAAACCTGTCAGGATTTGTCTTGGTTTTTAACGTTTTATACATTTTTTTATTGTCACGATGTACTTTCATCTGTAAGCCTTTGCTCAAGGTAGCTCAAGGTGGGCAATGCGATAAACCCTTTGGACGACGTTTGACGTTTTAAAAAGCAATTGTGTGGACTTTTAAGTATCTTCGATTTTTTCTCTTTTTAGGTGTTTTTTAAGGGTTAATCTTGCATCCTCTGTTACATTTCACAAATCGTCCCACAAAAGAATTTAAATTCGATCAACTCTTTCTGAGACGGACACCTTGGGGACCTGTATTATGTGTCCGTCTTAGAGAGATGTCAGTCTTATAAAGAGTCAAATAAAGGGAGTAAAGAAAGGCAGGGACCAACTTTGAGTGTCCGTTTTACAGAGGTGTCCGTCTTATAGAGGTGTCTGTTAAAAGAGAGTAGACTGTATACACTTTCCACATTGGAAAACTGAAAAGTAAATTTAATGATTACCAATCGTTTGTGAGTCTTCCTATTCTTTTCGTGGCTTGTCAAGCCTGCTGTTTGCAGTGGAGGATTCAGGGGAGGGTCCCGGGGGTCCTGGGCCCCCCCTTATTTTTAGATCAATGAGGCCCGAAGGGCCGAAAAACATGTTTTTTTGAGGCTACCCCTCCCCTTATCTCAGGGTCTGGATGACCCCCCCCCCCCCCCCCTCTTATCTGAAGGTCTTGATCCGCCACTGGTTTGTTAGCCTTCAAAATCTCATATGTTATCTGAATACACATTGCCTCTTACAATCACTCACTCATAGCCTGCGAATTCAGCCATCTCTCCTGTCCTCGCTGCTCCTCATCGCAAGGGTCCGCGAGGGGCGAAGGGAGACAGCTGTATTCGCTGGCCAACTCTCTCAAAATGTTTGATGAAACATTTTAGGAGTGTCGCTGGTCTGTTAGAATGGACTGCAAGCCATCCCGAACAGCTTCTTGGTCTTTTGCCGTTATTGGGGGACATTCAAGGCATAGAGGAAATTGCTGAGATGTTCCTGAAGGTTGGTGATCCATACAACAAAAGTGATGCAAAATGGGTGGTGACATAAAAAATTCCGTCCCTGAAAAACGAGAGTTGTAGTAGTATTTTTACTATATTTAGTCACTGTTCATGTCATTATCCTAGGAAGTACCCAGCGGAAAAACAAAATCTTAAGGTTTTGTGGTTTGTTACCAACTGGTCCCAATATCTTACCTAATCGCCTTGTAAGGTGATCACTCAGTTCGTGGATTCAAAAGGAGATGGTGGTCACATAAGTGTAGTTCGCGTACCGAGGGATTCGTAAACATTGTAATTTATTTACCCACGAAGCACTTAGGGGCTCTTAAGAACTCGTTTGAATGTCTCCGTGCGTTCCAGATCGAGAGAGCGTACGCGGTATTAAGTGTCTGTTTTATTCGCGGAGTGGTTTCTGCTTCGATTGATAATTGAAGAAGAGAAGAGACCAACTTTGGGTGTCTGTCTTGGAAAGATGTCCACCTTTTAGACAGTCAATGACGAAGGGAAGGGACCAACTCTGGATGTCTGTCTAAACCGGTTTCCACTTTGTAGACAGCCTTTATTGAGGTCTTCGTTGATAGCTAGCTAACAGGGTTTTCAAGAAGATGTTATGAAGGTGGCAAAAGCTTTGGAGTAGGTGGAGAAGGAAAAAACGTGCGGCAAAGGCACGGGTTTCTGGAAAAAGCTTGAAATCTGGGCATCTTAGAATGCATTTCCAGCATTCTAGAACAAAAATTAGAGTGTTTGAACGGAACACAGACATCATTTAAGGGACATGTTCGCGTTTCAGCGCATGCTCATTCATCAAAATGCTGTTTTTCTGTCGGGACAAGCTCTATCTTCTTTTCAAGGAATATGATCATGTCATAATGTCGTCAAAGAACCAATATGCACACTCCCCTGGCAGTCACTTGATCAAATTATGTCAAAATAGCTGTAAATTAATGAACCATGGAATAAAACCTTTCGGTCAACAGTACATTCAACGTTGGTAGTGTTGGCATAATCCACTGATGTTTTTTGCGATTTTAGTACTCCTCCATCCTACTTCAGGTCACTCTGAAATACACTTCTACTTTGAAATACACTCTGAGATCGCTGGGATACATGTGAGTGGGATTATTAACCGAAAGAATTAATAATTAATTGGAAAAATGTAATTTGATTAATGAGCATGCGCTTATCCGTGAACCTGTCCCTTTAAATTTTGGCTTTTTTATTCAGTGACAGCACATGAATACTCTTTTCAAATCAGAGTAATTTCCAAAAGAAGTAGGCGGTGAATTTCGCCGGCCACTGGTTCTTATTGAAAACCCTGCAGGTCTGCTTACTTGAATTCCTTTGCGTTTTTAACAGGCTGGTATAGTGAACGGATATCAAGACAGGCCGTGTCTGGACCCCACGGAGACAGGCTGCCCAAGCACCGCTCCTAACTCCCCGACAAAATCAGGAAAGGTAAAAAATTAAACGCCCGCCTAGACTAGAGTGCTTCGGCAAATTCTGGTTTCTGTACTCAATCCGAAATTTGCCACTTTAGAAACGAGAAGTAACCTGGGCCGAGTCAACTTTCGCAAAGACTTCTGGGATTGTTACTAGGGACCGAGAAAATAATGAACAATAGCTGACCTGCGCATGCCCAGTAAAGATCCCAGGAAAAATTGCGGGGCACATTTCGGCTCCAGTCTCCTTCTCAGCCGTTTCTTAAGTGGCGTATACCATAAACGCTCTGTAACATCACTGGGTACTTCTTAATTCTAAACTTTTTAGGGGTGTAGAAGGATTTTTTAAGAGTAATAAACGGCGACAAAAACTCGTTCCTGGGGTTTTTTTTGAACATTTGTAAAGGAAAATCCCTGGGAACGAGATTGACGGTGGCGCGACTTTTTCGTTCGAGCTTTCGTTTTACTGAAGAACAACACAGTCTGTAGTGTACTCGCCGTTAGGTTGCAGTTAATGTTTAACAACTATAACAAATTCAGAATCATACAAATGTGTTTCATAAGCACAATCAGATTTGCAAGTTCCATATGACTTCTTGTTTGGGAAAATTTCTTGCGTTTAGGTGAGGGTGGGTTAGGGCCGGGGGGCTGTTCGTGATGTACACCTTAAAGAGCATACATCTTCGTCGACTTGAAGAAGGGGAAGCGTTGAAAAAAGAGAGATAGGGAGCTTTAAAGAGTGTTTGTAGTTACACTTAGGAAGAGCAAAACTCGCCCTTAACTAAATATACCATAACGCTGTTCAACAAATGCGCATGTTTAACCTTACGTGGAGTTTATCGTTTTTGTTTGTTAACGCACATGGCCAAGGAAATGACCTTTTATTTATTTTTGTAGCCACCGAATGTTGCCAAAGAATTGACTGGAGGATGTAAAGGATTTGCTACAGAATTTATGCAATGGGCTGAAGAACTGGTGGTTGGTGGAACAGAAAAAGACAATAACACTTTGACTAGGTTTGTTGTTGGTCGTCCTTCTTGTTCCGAGAGCTACAATCATGGACAAAAGTCTTGGGACACTTTTGCATTTCTGGGGAGTTTTCCAATTCACACAGTTCCAGCCCCTCCCCTCACTCCACAAACAATGTTGGACGCGTGTATCCAGAATTTTTTTCGAGTTTTAAGTTTGTATAGGGTAGGGTGAGGGAGAACAGCAAGAAATTTTCCAAAAGGCTGCACCGTTTTAAGAGGGAACCGAGAAATTACAGAAAAATATGAATATTGCAGTACTGTCCCAAGGACTTTTGTCCAGGATTGTAGGTCTCGGTTTTCTCCCTCTCACTGGAGTCCAAAAGGGTGGGGGATCGAGAGGGAGGGAAAAAGGGAGGGGCACTTCCCCTCCCCCCCTCCCCGCTTGCCCATGCCCTTTTCTGCGGCTGCTACGCAGGCTTCCTCTCCTCAAAATTCCAATCCTAGAGCTCCTAGATGTTTCTCAGGTTAAAAGATTACGTTAGTTTAGAATTTTTACAGACAATATTTGTTCACACGCGACAGAAAAAAAACATTTTGACATTTTGACATTTTGACAACAGATGAATGCAACAGTCCCATCGTTTTTCTCGAATATGTTGTAAGTTGATGATTTCGCTGTGTGTATGAGAGAGTAATCCCATCGAAAAGCGTTTCCAAGTACGAGTACAATGCAGTTATTGCTGAGTATGCCTGAAACGAGCTTTCTTTTTTATTTCAGCGCGAAAGCGTTGCAGACAATTCTAGTATTAACAGGGACGAAAGATCTGCACAAGCGATGGGCTGACAGTTCTGAATATTTAACTGTTGACTGGACTAAGGATTCTGCAAAAGAAGTTCTGGAAGCGTGGCAAAGAAAGTTTACAGAGGTATATATATTTTTTAATTGTCAGTAGCAACTCATGGGGATTACAGTCACCGCCATCCAAGGACGTTCACCACGTAAATTGGCACCGAGGGTCTAATCCCCGTAATTTGTTTGGCTCCGCGAGCGGGCAAGATGAAGGAAATGCTGTGTTTCGATTGGCTGCCCGAGTAGGCACAATGACCCGATCATTGGTTGCTAGCTCGAGACATTGGGAGAAGCTAGAGAGGCCTGGGAACGAGGCTGGAATTTTTCGTCTTCGGAGATCCTTTACCGAACAAGTCTGTTCGGTCAAGGTTGCGTTTTAAAGAACCGAGACAAAAATGAGCTTCAAAAAGAGGCAAAAAAAATTGGCCAATATCCTGGCATGTTGTCGCCACGTGCTTGCTTAATAACCCATTCGTCTTAGAAATGTCCCCCCACAAAAGAGTCAAAGAAAATGCCTGAAAAAAAGAGCTGAAACAAGCTCTATAAAACGTTCTTTTTAGGGAGAGACTTGTCTTTCGTAGGAGAGACTTAATGAGTAATCTTACGAGTGACTTTCGACGAGTGAAAGTCCTAATTCGCCATTCGACGTTTTCTTTCATTGTAGGAAATCAATAACGATGTTCAAGAAACAGAAGAGTTTAGCATGTTGGCTTTTGATTCAGCGTCCGTCACGGACCTGTTGAAAGAATTCTCTCAAACGAGCGCCTCAAGAATTGCCATTGGATACGTGCTCATGGTAAATATCTTCAAACTGTTGTTAGTTTGATTAATCTTTTTTTTCTGTTTTTTGCTTAATTTGCTTAGCTCGGGGTTGGTACAGAGCAGTTCTTCATATCGATCTACGATCATCTTTTCTTTCAAATTCGCACGGATAACTAATGTGTACTGATGAAGGTTGCTGCGATCTTTTTTATGGCAACGTGTCACTGAGTCCCCACAATTTCCTGTATCTGCGCCATCTAGCCAAGATAACAGAAGAAAAAATCAGCAACAAAGAATTCTTTAAAAGAAAGTGGATACTGACGCCTTATTTAAGTTAACTGTATTAACTCCGTATTATTTCATTGCCCTGTTGTACTTTTTACAATTTCTTTTAGCCCGGTAACACCTCCTGTAATAATTTGACAATTTTTTTTTTGCTTTACTCTGTTAATGTCTCTTGTTAAAGTGGTTTTTTTTTTGTTTTTTAAATGTAATTATTTAATGTGATTATCAATAAACATATTAAAAAAAAAAAAAAAAGAGAAGATATCTATTGAACACCTTATATCAACTCGACAATATTTCGACATACGCGATCATGAACACGGTCACAGAGCGAGGCCCTCTATTCACTGATCACAGTAATTTTGTTTGCAATTCACGACTCACGAGCTTACTTTGCTTCACAACACACTCGTGGTTATAAAATTCAGTATACTAAGATACTAGGTAGGATCTAGAGGAGCTCTGCCCCTCAAACTAAACTACGGCATTCCCGACAAGCAGCGCTGGATCGAGTTGGAAACAAGGTCCGCGACAGCCAATCCCAAATGTGAGATCGTGTGAGCGCATATACTTGGGGAAACTTGTCGGGCGTGTGAGACTATTTAAAAACGGGCTAACTCAAATCGTCTGTATTTTTCGTTAGCTCATATACGCATGTATCACTCTGAAACGTTGGTGTGACCCAATCCATTCCCATGGTGCCCTGGGACTCGCAGGAGTTCTCCTCGTCACGCTGTCGGTCGCTGCTGGGTTAGGATTCTGTGCGTTATGTGGTATAACCTTTAATGCTGCTTCAACGCAGGTAACCGTGATTTGGACTAGTTAGTAAATTGGATTATTACGCAGCACTGTTCTTGCAGTGGACAAACGATGCAGTTTATCTCTGAGACACGTTGTTATCTTTTTTCCTTTTAGGTGTTACCATTTTTAGCTCTGGGACTGGGCGTGGACGATATGTTTTTGCTTGCCCATTCTTATTCCACTTTAACACACAGGGGAGAAATTCGTAGTAAGGTGAGTATTCATATTAAGAATTGAAACTAAGTTCGAAGCTAATAAATGGCTTGATTAAGCCAAATTTGTTCTTTTTCCCTTTCTTAAGAAGCTCCTAAATGCCACTATGCCACTATGTCTACACACGAAGTTATGTTCCGTACCGGATCCAAACCTCCAGATGAGGGAAGGGGGTGGGGGTGCAGCGATCATCCAGTCCATGAGATAAGAGGGGGGCCCCGGGCCCCTCCCCTGAATCCGCCACTGATGTTCAATCGCCGCGCAGAGGTGTACCTAGGATAGGGGCAACAACTTCTTTCACGGAGAAAAAAATGCGGAGTACTGACCCGACCCCTGCCGGGGCAGATCGAACCCACGACCTGTGCATGGCAATGCAGTCCAGCGCTCTCCTGACTAAGCTAATACTGCCGCGTTTATATTAATTTTACAGGACGAAGTAGGCTACTGTCTGGGGACCATCGGAGTTAGCGTGTTTCTCACATCGTTCAACAACATGTTGGCATTCTTTATGGCAGCGTTTATTCGCATACCAGCCCTTAGACATTTTGCAATACAGGTAAATCAATTTAAAATGCTACGATCATCTAAAAAACAGCAAAAACAAACACGATTTTGCATATGTATTCGCGGGCGAGAAGCGCGGGCTCATTTCAAGAAAAGCGGCTGGCCCAACTCTATAGAGAGGAGAAGTGTGACGTCACGTTACGATGGTAGCACTATTTCTGGATGACTGCAAAACCAACGGCGACGGCGACGGCAAGGAGAACGGCAAAAATAATATGTTTACATTAACAAACAACAACTTTGCAGGTGCATTACGCTATTTTGTACATTTCTTTGCCATCGGTGCACAACGACGACATGAAACTTCCGCTTTACTGTGAGCATTATGGTCGAGGACATAGAATTATGTATACTTGCTCCTCAGTTGTGCAACGCTTAAACTTTTAGAAACATTTTTGTTGGGTTAAAAGCCAAAAAATTAGTAATTTGATGATTCTTAACTGCTCCTTATAACAATATTCTGATCTTCATTGATAGGCCGGTGTTGTTGTTATATTCAATTTTATTGGAGTCATCATCATTTTTCCCGCTATGATCAGTCTGGACATAAGAAGAAGAAAAGCTCAAAGATGGGACATTATCTGCTGCCAAAAACAGTAAGTTTATGTTATCGAACTTCTCTTGCGTTCCTTTTGTCCGCGTCTCGCCACTGCAGTTAAGTCGATTTGCTAAATAATGGCCTGTTTACATGGAGGTGGGGGACCCCAGGTAACCCCACCTATCATGTAAACGTGATCAAATTCAAATGAGAGATTATATGGACAGGCGGGTTACCCACCAAAGCGGGTTACCTCACCTACCTGGGGTCCCCCAGCTCCATGTAAACAGGCCCTAATACGTTTCGGTGGTACACTGCAATAGGTAACAAAACTGGTAAGACACTTTGAATTGGTTTTGTTACGGCTGTAGAGTTTTTCGTTAATTTTGCGAATCACTCTCCCTTATGCATTAGGGAATTTAACGTTAACGAAGACAAAATCACAGCTTTTTGTCTAACAAATACTTTTGCCAAGCATTATAACAATCGTTACGAACAACAAAAACGAACTTTGAAAATTTCTTATTAAGATAACAAGTCTTCATTAATCTATAATTTCAATCCGTTTCAATCAAGTTCAAGTGCCCTCTTTTGAATTTACAGCGTTATTTATACCATCGTTTAACCTTTTTAATGGTTATTTCTATGTTTCACTTAATTTGGTGTCAGTTCTTACTGGTAGAACTTCGATAAAATTCGTGATACCGCTCCTTTAAGGAGCTCATCAGCGCCCAGAGATCTCGGGCTTTGCCCACTGAGGTCAGCCTGGATGATTTGATGTATTTGTGTTGGCAGTGATTTCGATTTTGGTTTTGTTTTTACAACCACTTGTATTAAAGCAAGAAACATTTCTTGCTTTCAGGCCGCAACAGGAAAAGGGTAGCGTGGAAGTAATAACGGGAGACGTAGCAACGACTAACGGAGTACACAGTGTGAATAGTAGAACAGAACTCTCGGCTAATCCTGTCACCCCGCAACCTACCCAAACAATGGTGATGACTGTGCCTGCGAATAACAAATCTGATTCGTCTATCGCCGACGTTTTAGTCAATGAGTACGCGAGTAATGGAGATAAACAGTCAAAGAACTCTTATGGCAGTGAAGCGAGTGTGACAGGTAAAAAAGTTGATGTTTTTTTGTTTGGAAATATCCAAATGTTAACAATTGTCTTTTCGGAACATCTCCGAGGATTTATGGGTTTGTTGAGAGTATCCCCAAACATTTACAAATCCAGCCTCGTATTTCGGGTGTTGTTTGATGTTGCGGAAACTATGAGAAGCTATAGAGTGTTTTCACATGACGTCACGGCGGCCATATTGGTGTCCCAAAACAATGAAACGGCGGCCATGATGGTGCCCCAAACCAATCCTCTGGGAATTGAACTCTTTTCTTATGCAAACGCTTTCTTTTGTTTCAATAAATTTGCGTAGATGCAGGCCACGTGAGTGAAAACACTCTATTGTTTTGTATCCAGATCTCACTTTGTCTTACGCTGAAAAGCGAGATCTCTCTTTCCCTTGGCCGTCGGAGATCTGGGTACGAGATTAGGTATTTTTTAGTGTTTTTTCAATCTTTTGTATTACGTCATTTGGTGACTGCACCCATCTGAGATTAAAGGACACCCCAATTTTTTTCAAGCGTTCTATAACGCTCTAAACCGCATAAATCACAACCAGCGGAGAATTATTGGGGAAATTAATTGCTTTATCCACTAGAAAGAGATTTATCCAGTGGGTAGTGTTATCCACCCTTTTGAACATCAGGGGCCCGTTTCTCGAAAGTCCCGATAATTAACGGGCCCGGTAAGCTGTCTCCGTTTACATTAAAGATCGAGGTTTCAATAGTTTTGCATCTAACACGATAAAACGGTCAGTTAATGAAACTAAATGGAGTAGTTTGCTAGCCAGGACCCGCGCTCTTATTCTTTATATTTCGATTTGAATTTTTGATTTCGGGCCCGTAAAGTTACCGGGACTTTCGAGAAACGGGCCCGTGGGCCCTGAAAGATTGCGGCGCTTTTTGTACTTGATTAGGTGCCTTTATTTATTTCCGTTATTCCCCCTCGGCAGTGATTATCGCACTAATGCCAGTGGGGCCGAGCAAATGCCTGAAACAAATATTTTAAATCAAATATAATGGGGTTAAGAATACCAACTGGCCGGGGGCGAACCAGTTGGCTTTTGACAAGCGTGGTCGAGGATTTGAACTCGGAATACCTAGAACAAATCAGCTGGCGGTAAGCGTCGGCCTCGGGGCATCCGAATTGCAAGCCCAGCTCTATAACCGCTCGGCCACGCTGCCTTTAACGAACGCGAAGAATTGATTTGTACCGATCGAGCGGCGAGCGTGATTCGTACAAGGATGGGGAAAGGAAAAGGACGCCCTTAACTGAGTTACACTTTACTCTCGATTCTCGCTCCTCGTGCGCGTGCTTCGCCAAACTGTCGGTTTTTAGGCAAGAATTTTTAATATTTAAACTGAAATCACTCGCAACACAGGAAATCACGTGAATTCTACAGCAATGGAGATGCCCCATCCGGTAACAACAAGAAACAACGGTAACAGCGGAAAACGTAGTGCTGCACCTTGTGGTCGCTTCTTACTTCTGGAGTACTTTGCCACTACTTATTACGGACCATTCCTGCGGGAGAATCCGGTCAAGGTAAAAAAGTCTATTATTTTGTGCAGTATACACTTGTTGGTAACATTCAGCCTAGTCCCTAACCGTTCTCTGCTCGGTCAATCCTGGACTCTACATCGTGGGCTGGACGTCACCGAGAGAGATTCGCCCGCTTTTTCCCAGACTTCGCACGGACAACGGGTCAAGAGAGAATACCTGGGGACTAGGATGGGACGGCTAGGATCGTTTTTGCAGACCCCTGATTGCCTCTGTTTTCGGCCTCGGCAAACCTTTGAAGGCTCGATTACCAGCCGCTGTTCGATAGCTTTCCCTTTTGAGTCCTTGATTCGCTCCTTGTTTTTGATCCGCCCAGATTGCACTAGTGGCTTGACAAAGCTTTTGACAGTCATATATTGTCGAAAAAGAGCAAGACTTTTGAAAACTGATGTCGAAACCTTAACAAATATGTTATCATTCTGATTGGTTTGAGTGTGTTTGCATCTTGCTAACTTCACGTAGCAAAGTTTATTCTCCCTGACCCTTAAAAGAAGTTAGAAAATTTCAAATGAATCTCTTGTAAGGATGCCTTTTGTTTTCACAATTGTTTTCTGTTACTCCTTTCAAGGTCGCTGTGTTGCTTCTTTTTGCTGGTCTGCTCGCTGTTGGAATTTACGGTTCGTTTCAAGTTGAAGACGGTTTAGAGCTCACTGAAGTAGTACCTCAAGGCAGTGTCGCCCATCAATTTGTAGAAGCCCAGTTTAAGTACTTCTCGTTTTATCCAATGTCGCTCATTACTCAAGAAGGATTTGATTATGCTAATCGACAGAAGACTCTCTACTCTTATCATGAAGCTTTCAAAGAGGTTAGTTATCACTTCATTTTCATTTATCTTGTGAAGGCAGTTTTTTAACCATACAATGTAGAGCATGCGAACAATAGTATTATAGATATAGTGTAGAATAACCAAGGACGGGCTGCCTCGTTTACGGGGTAGGGATGAATAACTAGGGGAAGATCCACATCTTATAGGGGGGAGGGGCTGCGCACGGCCGCTCCTTCCCCTAGCTGTAGACAGGCTATCTTAATAGACATCTTTGATGTTTGAAAGTGACAACGAGGCAAAATAAAGATTAACAGGGGTTTGATTTGGCCCTATACTTCTAAAGCCGAGTCCTTGCCTTAAACTGAGGTTATTCGCCTTTTCGTATTATCTGACAGACTGAGAAGTATTCCGAAAACGAGGCAAACATTTTAGGTAGTTGCTCTATGACCCAAAACAGATCGCCTTTGTCAATAGTTAAAGTAACATCTCGTATTTGCTTTGAGTTCTGAGCTAAGTACTAAATAGCGTCTTGTGCTTCTTTGTGTTATAGATTCCCAATATAATCAGAATTCCTGACTCAGAAGAAATTCCCAAATTTTGGATGATGTACTTTAGAGATTGGCTGCGAGGTAAGGAGCTTTTTTGGACTTTAAAAAATGCAACTGCTCTGCGTACCGGGCTGATTTTCACTATGGCCGAAAATCTGCAAATCGTCAAGAGCGCCATACGCAACCTACTTCCATCCACGAGCTTGCGAAACAGTTTCGGTCTTAAACAGTAAGTTCCAATAATACATAGTAACAGTGAGATCCTGGCGAGTACATTTTGACAATGAAGTTCAGTTAGCCTGCTAGCGAGCTCTCGGGGGAGGGATTGGGGAGAAAATGAGAGCTCTCTCCATCCCAGTCATTTAATCTGGAAAGATTCAGTCTCCTTGAACAACATCACCTTATGTTTCTTTCAGATCTCTAATAAATGTGATGTTATTTCCTAGATATTCAAGCAGCGTTCAATGAAGAATGGGCTAATAAGACCATAACATACTCTGGCTGGAAAGAAAATGCTACAGACAACGGGGTCATCGCGTTTAAACTGCTCTCTCAGACTGGAAACGGAGATGAAATCGATAGATCAAAGGTAATCTGTTAATATGACAGCAAGAAAAGTGTTTTCTTCACAAGGACAATAGTGTTTCCTTCTCGTCAGTGTCAACATGAAAATAAACATGATCAAAGAAACTCTGCAAACGCTGTTTTTGAAAATGTTCAATACAACCCGCTGGACTGGTATAGTCTCTAGGTCTTTTAGCTGAGCTTTTAACCGTTTTTATATAATGGGTTTTATTTAAGCTCCGAGCGCCTGAGTTGACAGAATTTTTCTCAGACTGAGTGAAATTAACGGAACGCACATGATTTAGCTTGGCTTGCTTGATTTCTTTTTTTTTCACCTTAACGCTATTTCCACTTCAAAAATATCAATGTGTTCAATAGAGGAGGCAGTCTAGCCCATTTTGCACAGGCGAACCCTGTACGCTTCCGAGCGCGTTTAGCATCATGTCGGCTTCTATTACTTGCTTTATTTTTAGAAACCAATTTCTGACTATCAAAAGGTGATGATAAAAGAGTTTTCAAAGTTGCGAAAAAGAAAATCGTATGCATTAGTAATAGGCAACTTAAGCACGCGACGTTTTTGATTCACCGACGGCATGGCTGACCGCGCAGAACTGGATCCGGGACGCGGTTTGCGTGCCAATTGCAAATCATTAAGCAAAACAACGTGAAACCGTAACGAACGCCGACGGAATAATTCAGTTAAAAATGCCTTTCAAAGATTTGCGTTAAGTTTTGTTTCTTTCTTACGAAGAACACATGATTTCAGATGAGAACTCGCGTTTTGAAGTCCGTGACAGCAGCTCAAGAACGTCTTGACGTGTGCAGTGGCTGTCATGCTGCAAAAACACTTCCGGTTGGCGTCCGTGGTACCAAGAACGTCTGGTGCTTAGGTTCCCGCTAACCAAGATGAACGAAAGACAATATTCTCCCTACTATCCAGGATGATTGTGTCATTGCTGTCACTTGAGAGGGCCTAAAACTCGAATTCCTGTCTTATTATTTCACAGGTTCGAAATTATACACTAGTCAGTGACGATGGAGTTATTCGGCCTGAAATATTTTACAAGGCTCTTACTCTCTGGGTGGACAGGGATGTGTTGGGATATGCATTTTCACAGGTTTGTTAAACGTAACTTTTTCAAGACACTTTTTCGGTATGTACAATTCACATTGGTCACTCTGTAAAATTTCTCGATGGCAGTAGCTAATTAACAAGCTCTGTATTATTGTTATTGTTGTAGGCTAGCATTAAACCAGAAACCGTTGACTGGTCTAACGTGAGGTCTCCTCAAGATGATGCCGCGATGCAAGGTGATTAAAATTGGTGTATTCAAGAGTTTGTATATCGCTCACCAGTGACGCGAAGGCCCCCGCCGGCTCATAGCGACGAGAAGCTCTGGGAGACGAGAATGTCTCCTCCATCAGCCTCAACTGACTGTCGCTTCAACCTTATCTAGTCCTCGCACGGCGTTTTCCCAGGCTTTCTGGGTCAATTCACTTCGGTGACGTATCCGAGGCGAACGGGCGGGAAACGCCTCACTTCTTCGCTTGGACTACGTGACCGGAAACGAATTGGCCGTGCGGAATGATGAGGCCTAGGGACTAGGCAAGCCGCAACCTCTTTTCTTGCGTCTTTCCTTAGGAAAAGGAGAGAACAGCCACCTTAGGAACCAGGCTGCGATTACTTCACCCCAACCCCACCCCCCACCAACTGTTCCACCAATTCATTGCTCTTCCCTATGGAGGAGACCTTTTGTTTAAACTTTTCCCCTCTCCTTCTTTTATTTCAGTTCCGACTGCGAAACCAATCACATTCGCTAAGATCAACTTTAATGTGATTGGCCTCAAGGAAACCAAGGACTTTGTGGCACTGATCAAGGTACTGTTTATGTAAGGACTCAAATATATTTCCATTAAACGAAGATAACTTCATGATAAGTTAGTGCAAACTCATTAAAGGCACATAAAAGACCTTAACCAAGAAAAGTGAAGTGCTTTCTATCCCAGACTCTCTTAGTTCTCTCTCTATTGGTTATGGTGCCATTCATCCCTTAAAAAATCTGCAGGGATGCCAGATAAACCTCATAAGATTCGTTTAATCAACTTGGGTTGTCCAATACTGTCTCGCTTCAATTTGTAATAGAACTGCGTTCTACTACGTCGAACGCTAATTTCACCGAAATTAAGATCTCAACAGTAAAGTAACCTTGGAGCTGAGATGCAACAAGGAAATGTGCATGGTGTTTGTCTTAACACTTTCCAAAATAACTGCGTAATGTTTTTTAAACTCCTGCAGAATGTTCGAGAAATTTGCGACAGATTCTCAGCCGATGGCCTTCCAAACTATCCTAGTGGTGTTCCGTTCACATTCTGGGAGCAGTACATCTGGCTAAGGAGGCAAATCTATATCGCCATTTCCATCGCTCTGGCTGTCAGCTTTGTAGTTATGGCGGTCATGCTGTTCAATATCTGGGCAGCGGCGCTTATAACTCTCGTTCTGTTGATGATCACAGTAGAGATGTATGGCTTTATGGGTTTGGCTGGGATCAACCTTAGTGCTGTACCAGCGGTTACACTCATTCTTTCGGTTGGTGTGGGTGTAGAATTTACTGTTCACATGTGCTTGGTAAGTCCTTTAAAATTGTCAGATTAAGGTTTGACTTTTTTCAATGGATTTTAACTTCAAAGGCTGCCCAAAGATCCTTTAGTCTAAAAGATAAAACCTTGCACAGCATCTTGAATAAATAGCGCCACACTGCACAGGAAAGTATTGCTTAGTACCAACATCAATTTAGATTCAATTTTTGCAACTTGTTGCGGCGACAAAATTCTTTTGCAGAGGCAAAGATTTTTATACGAAGCGATTTATTTTGTCTCTGCGACGTGTCGCGCAACTTGTCGCCCGACCGTGATTTTTCGCCTCGACGCGTTGCAGCGACATGTCACCTTGTGCAGCCTTGTTCCCAGTCGTCTTTGGCGATATCAAATGTGACGTCACCTGTCAAGCTTGTCGGGAGAATTCGCGTAATCGCTCTCGGTTCCAAGCCTCCTTCGCTCAGTCGGATAATGCGCACAGGCCCGGGGGAAAGGCTGCGTCTAGTGTCCTACAATCTAATGATCTTGGTTTTCATTAATCAATAACACCCCATTTACTTTAAATCCCGTAATCAGTTCTTTCTTTTTGACCGTTTCTTTCGCGAAATTCCTTTTTTTTTAAATTTTTCCTTCAATAACCTTCATCCCTGACCATTTTCAGGCCTTCCTACACACGCTTGGAAACAGAAACGAAAGAATGCAGAAGGCCATTGAACACGTGTTTGTACCTATCGTGGATGGCGCTATTTCCACTTTTCTGGGCGTGGTGATGCTGGCAGGTTCCCCCTTTCAGTTTATAGTCAGGTAAGAAAGTTCTTCAGCGATAATCTAACGCGGCCGTATCATGAAAATTATCGCAGAATTTGTTTACCAGGTTAAATTTTTAACCGCGCAGCTATCACCTTAAGTGTGCCGGCGACACCAAAAAACCATGGCGTTGCCTCTGTGGCCATCTTAGGTCTGTTACGTCGGTTTTGTCGTATGATTTTTGTCAAGTATTATCTCAAACACGAGGAGGAGTGTTTCATGCGATGTTTGCAAACACTGAGAAGAAATAAATCAAACACGAGGCGGAGTGTTTCATCTGATATTCCATCACTGAGAAGTATTACATCAGACACGAGCAGTATTTTATCTTACATTCAAACACCTACAAGACATGTAATAACGCGAGAGTGTTTAAGGTGAACCTAGCTAATATCTAAACACCGCAAGAGATTATACTTATTTATTATATAGACACGAGTGTTTTACTGGAAAATATACCACTCGTAAAATTCATAAAAACCACATCCGGGACCCGAGTGGTTTATTTTCCATAATCTCACACGAGTTTATCGACGACGTAATTTTGGTAGTTTCCCTCTATTATTTTATCGATGTCATTTTGTATATATAATAAAAAAAGAACATTAAAACTGAAGATTTTATTTTCTCGTGGCAAAAAATTTGTACCGCTGCGCTCGTTCGTAAAATATTGCAAATATAATTCATATCCCCCACCCCTCTATAAAACTCGAGAAGGAATGTTTCGTCATATATCCAACCCCCCCCCCCCACCCCCCGCCGCTCCCCTCAAAAAGTGGGCAGAAATAAACGAGTCTTTTTAAAAAATCTAACCTCAAGGTAACTAAACATAGTTAAAAAGAAACACTTTCCAAGGTGTTCAGATGAAGCTTCTGAACTGATGAGTTTTTGGTCAAAACGCAAGCATAATTTTGTAATGATTACGATCCGACTTTGTTTTCTTGTCAAACTTCAGTGGTGATGTCGCATAATCTTTCTCCCTTTCAGATATTTCTTTAACCTCCTCGTAGCCCTTATTTTGATTGGTACATTTAATGGCCTCCTTTTTCTACCTGTTCTTCTTTCTATCGTTGGACCCGGAGCAGTGGTAAGTAACAGACTGATTTAGCAACAGGACAGGAACGTCAACTGACCGCGCGGAAAGGACGCATTGTGCCCAATTTTTGCCATTGGTTAAGCCAATCTGCGCGCGCCGTCGTATGACGTTCCCGTTCTGACCTAATACACCCAAGGAGACGCATTGTTTTCAACAATATGGGACCTTACCATAAGGAACGTACACCTCTTTTTCTTACTGCGCATGCGTTCTGTGCTTCCATGAAGACATGTGTCTTCTAACACACGCTTTATATCACGTAACTGTTAGCAAAAGTTAATCTAGACCGATGATTTTACTTTATGGTTCGCAAGGACAACTAACGAATTTTAAAAATGTATAGTCGCTTACCACCTGCTGTGTGGTATAGTATCAAAGCGTGTTTTCCCTTACGTTCTACTCGGATGGTCTAACAAAGCGAAGGGCCCCTAAGAGAGAACAGGGCATTTCTGGGTAACCCAAAGCCTCGGTGTCAAAGCGAGGCTAAGTACAAAGCCACTGATAGGAAAATGATTTCTTATTCTCATGCAAATGAACCTCATTTTCACCAGAAAGGATTAGCACTTATAGCCTCGTTTTGAAAATTTTTTTGGTACTCGGAGATAATCAAGATTTTTGCCAAGTGACCTACTGTACATCGATGCTAACTTTCGTTTCTTTTTTTTTCAGGCACAGGAAATAAACACTGCCCGATGCCAATGCCTCTAGCGCTTTTCAAAACAAAGCCATGGATGCCTCGTCTGCTGAATCAGCCATTAATTCTCTGGAAGGTGAACAAAATGAAATGGGGGTAATCAAGAAGGATGAGAATAAGCTCAGGGATCACAGCCCGACAGTGGGAAGAACGGTTATGAACGTTAAACACGGCTCTCAAGTAGAGCCAGCTGAAAATGATCCAAGGGGCGTAAGCATAGGAACTAGTGATGATCTAAATGCAAAATCCATGAATATTAAACGTTAATTTACACGTATTGAAACTTGCCTGATGCAAGACTACAACGACGCACCCGTAAATAGAGCCTCCTTTCGTCCTCTTGAGTAAATAGGAGAAAAAAAGGCTCTAATTGAATCGACTCGCCGTAACCCGAACGTCTGGACTAGTCAATCTTGTTTTCTCTCGTCAAACTGGTTTTTTCGTGCACGAGCATCCATTTATTATTAAACCAATGGTCATAACCTAACCCGCAGTTGAAAGCGCACGGCTATTAGGCCTGGGTTCGAAACTATATCGTACTGAGCAATATGCCGCGCATGCTCAACACCGATCTTCCTTGATTCATGCAGAGTCTTTCTCGAGTATGCGAATGATTGAGCAGGCGAGAGAAAGGCTCTGCCGACAGCGTTAAAATGTCGCAACACAGCACCTAAGTTGACAAAAAAGTGCTTCCTTCGTTGCAAAGGAATAACAGCCCTTTTCTTACTTGCTTAGCCTGAGAAATTCCACATGATGACGCGTCACTACGCAGATCTGGGTAGTGCTTCTGATTGGTCGTGACGCTAGGGACATTTGATTCAACCAATCAGAAGCACTACCCTGATCTGGGTAGTGACGCGTCATCAGTATTGAATTTCTGCGCTTGTTTCTCAGATGTCATTTGGCGGGAAACCAGTGGTAACGTCGCCAAATTTCGGCTGTTTTCTCAGGCTATTACTTACTGTAATACAAGTTTATTTAAATATTGTCTTGTAAAAAAGACCCGGACCCCGATGTCAGATGTAAATATCTTATTGAACTGAAATGGAGATAAACTATTCAGTTATACTGACGTTGATATTAAATATAAAATTGATATTTTGGAATGTCTGTTTTTTTCTTCTAAACTTAACTTATTTTCTTGCTGTAACACTTATTTAAGTAATGTCTTGTAAAATATGTACTGTTTGGTTGAATACGTTTGTAAGTATTTCATTTAATAAAAAGGAAAAATGACTAATTTGTAACCAAACTGGTTGTTTAATTTTCTTTAACGAATTTTCTGGATAACTTAGGCCCCGTCCAATTTTGCCTGTACCAA